TCTAAATTATTTCTATATTTGTGAATCCATTTAAAAGTGGAAACTACAGTTTGGACTTTCTTAAAACGATGCATATATTTTGAAAGTAGTCAGATATTTTTTTTTTGCAGGGCCTCAGATGTATTTAATCTATCACTTTGTTGTGCCGAGATACATTTCTAATTTACTGACACAAACAATGAACAAAGGTAAAACTGCTGTGTGCATGATCTGTGTTTTGTAGTTTTTTTTAAAAAACCTATTAGTTGTCAACATGCAGCAGCAAAATGCAACAAAAGATTACAATTAAACCCATATTTCGGATACGAAAACACGTCCCTAACTGTCATAGTTTTTGCACATGGAAAGTGTAACCTACAGCAGCAGATTTGCTTCTTTTTCATAAGTAACGTTTCTACAAATGAGTGCAGTTGAAGGGTATCTGACTCACACACCCAGACCCATGAGATTTTTTTTACCTAGACCCGCCATACAAGAAAAAGTCTCTGTGCCTCAAGATTGATAGCAATTTGGGTGTTATCATTAAGAGGAAACACTTTTCATTTACGTTTACATTTCCAAAAATGCTTTTTTTACAGGACCTTCCCAGGATTTGTAGGACATGTTATTGGGCACATCTGGAGTGCAGTTTGTTGTCAGGTCTTTGTCGTTTGCTTTTACCTGAATTTACAAATGATTTGTAATCATTCCTTGCAGAAAATAGTGACAGAATAAAGAGGAAGAAATAGAAGAAAATGGGATCAAATAAATGTACATGCAAAGAAAAAAATACAATTGCTTTATAGATTCTGGGCTGGGAACCTAGTTGCAAACGGAGCTCTTGCCTTGCCAGTGAGTTTATTAAAATGTTCCCTGCAGCTATGACTTTGACTTAGAATTCTAAAAAAAGAACAACAAAAACTTCAAAATGTAATGGATGTGCATGATTTATTAGTTAAAACTAATATTTTTTTTGTTCTTAGGTGGTGAAGACTATTGGGCTGAGAGAGGTTTGGTTTTTTGGACTACAGTACCAGGATACCAAGGGCTTCTCCACTTGGCTTAAACTCAATAAAAAGGTAAAATTACAGGGGAATTATAATCTTTGGAAGAGATCAAATTCATAGCATTTGTGGATTTAATTTTACAGTTTTAAAATCCAACCTTGCAGGGAGTGATCTCCAGAACAGGAAATTGCAATTGGACTTCAGAATTACAAATTGTTTATACTTTTGACACACTCCGCTCTCTAGTTTGTTGTATTTTGCTTTTGTTTTAAACAAAGTAGATTATTCTTGCAGGTTGCTGTAAAGTAAAAAATAATATTATGCCTCCAGTAAAACAGAGAGATAATGTGTTCAGTGGGAAATATTTGCAGTGCCTATCATTAGAATCATATCTTAATTTATCATATTGTATCTTTAAAAGAATAAAATGATGGACTGCTTTTTCAGTACATTACATCACAACTCCTCGCACGCTAAGACAAGCTGCTAAATGTGGTTTTATTTTCCCTGTTGCCAGGTGACAGCGCAGGATGTGCGGAAGGAAAGCCCACTGCTGTTCAAGTTTCGGGCGAAGTTCTACCCTGAGGATGTGTCGGAGGAGTTGATCCAGGAGACAACACAGCGACTCTTCTTCTTGCAGGTCAAGGAGGGAATCCTCAATGATGATATCTACTGTCCCCCTGAAACAGCCGTGCTGTTGGCCTCATATGCAGTGCAGGCCAAGTATGGAGATTATAACAAAGATGCCCACAGTCCAGGATACCTGGCCAGTGACAAGCTGCTCCCACAGAGGTACGCCCCTGTCATGTAAAGCTTCGTAAAACTTTTTAAACCATGAACAGGATCAGATTTTGATTTTCTAAAGGTATTGTGCTTTTTTTGCTTTGCTGAAAAAATGTAAATAATTGCTTACTGCATATGATCCACTTAAGTTTTACTTGTATACTAGCACTGGGAACGGTTTATATTTAATTTATGTTTCTATAATGCTGGATGTTTTTTTTAATTAGTCAAACTGATTAATCTACAACATTTGAAGTTTATTGGATTGCCAATAGCTGTTGTTCATTCATTTACTATGTGAACACACTTATGGAATTGTGGTCCGTTATTTGTTTTAAGTATAAAGGAAAATACATGACTTACTCTTTAAAAAGGCTAAGAATATTCCTATATTTTGTTGAACAAAACTCAGTAGTAAGGCAGTGTGATATCAGATGTCTTGTGTAGGTTGTTTATCATCTTTATAATGAACTGAACAACAAGAGAAACCGCTAATAGACAAGACAGAACTCAAACACTTTTAGGACATTTTGTTTGCCCTTTCTTCATTCACAGTATATGGATATTTTGCAACTGTGGTTGTTTTGTAATATTTTCTTAATGGATGCAATTTACTGAATCTTAGATAGATCAGAATGAACCATCTCTCATGTGAAAGGATGTTTGATAAACTCACCTTTTTAGACCTAGGGTGTATAATTTAAAGAACAAGGGGACAGGTAAAATTGATCTTTTTGTAAAATAGTTGGTTTCTGCTGGAGCATTCAAGTTAAGGCTTTGTAGTTGTGGTTGTACAAGCAGAGCCATTTACAGAATGGTAAACAGGGATCCGATTCACTTTTTTTTAGAGAATCTCTGAGGTTTTTCAGAAATGTCATGGTTCATGTGTCTGAGAATTTGGGTAGGTCTTTTCCAGACATTTGTCAGATCAGTTCACAAATTGTTCCATATGGTTTTCAGAGTACTGGAGCAGCACAAACTGAATAAGGAGCAGTGGGAGGAACGTATTCAGGTGTGGCACGAAGAGCACAGAGGAATGCTGAGGTATGTACAGTAGTACAGGAGGAAACACATAAAAATTCCAATTCTGATGCCTTAATTTATCCATCTTTACAATATTTAACTTTTTAACTTTCCTGCTTTTTTTCTTTATGAGTGTATATTACAGAAATGTACAGTATTAGTGGTTTAAAATTTATCTCTACCAAGCAGAAAGTCTGCTTGCCTATGACGAAATTTTAATTTGTTTTTCGTTCCTCGCCCCTCTGTGAAGGAGTGTGGAAAAACTAGCAGTTTTGAAACCTGAAAGTGTTGCGCAAATTATATTGGAGAAAGGGATGAATAATCACTTGTTCCAGTGATATGAGCTTACCTTTTTTTCCTTTGTAAACAATACCATCTTTGATAAGCAAATTTAAGAAAAAATAGTTTCTTTTTAGTAGTTGTCGTAGAATGTCTGTTTGGAGTAGAATTTCCTTGGTTAGAATTGTATTTACGATGTATTTATGTTGTATTGATGATGTGAAGGCAACATACAGTATATGAAACATTCTGCATCTATTATTACCTTGGTCAGACATGCAAGAGTGTGTAGCTGGAAAAACTTTAATCGCACCTGTTGATTAATCAGTGGGTATTTTCTAGGCCATAGGTTCCTAGTCATGGTCTGGGAGAATTTTTAATTGCTCTCAGGTTTTAAACATGTTAGAGGCTGACTTTTAGTTGTTGCTTTTCATAAGTAACGTAAAAACATGCTACTTAAAATTACATTAAAAGATGTTCATTCAATTACGTAAAGACATTGGACAGCACAGAAACGTTTAAAACCTGTGTTGAAAGGGAAATATTGTGGTAAACTATAAATATTAATCATGCACAGTGGCTTAATTTTAACAAAAGTTATTGTAGTAATCTCACATTATAAATATCCAAAATACTGGATAAAAATGAAAGTAGAAAACACAAAAATACCCCGCAGTTACCAAAACAAAAGCAGTACAATCAAGCCATTAGCTTTACAGTGAAGATTGTGGAATCTGAAGGAAAGAGTCTAAACAGAATACAGTGTCATAACTAAGATTCAAACTGATTAAATTAAAATTGTCTGTAAATGCAGTATATTTCTAGAGTTAGGTAAATTCTAGATCTCTCAATAGTAGCCCATATAGGATTGCAGTATCTGTACTTTTAGTCAAAGTCAAAATGCTAAATGCGGTTTGTTGAAGATGATGAGGAAAAAATGTTCAACAGGGAGGATTCTATGATGGAGTACCTGAAGATTGCACAGGATCTGGAGATGTATGGCGTGAACTACTTCAGCATCAAGAACAAAAAAGGATCAGAACTGTGGCTGGGAGTGGATGCTCTGGGACTTAATATATATGAGCAAAATGACAAGTAAGTTGAGAGTTCTTCCTTTCTAGAAACACTTTCTTTTGGCAAATTTCTCTCCATTTTTATTTTGCATGCTGCTTAAGAGGTATTGGTCCATACGTACAACAATTAACTTCTTTTCTTGTCTTTTAGTAATTATTGATCACATTGTTCCAGAGCTGAAAATGTACTGTCTACTGATCAAACATAATTTTTTGTACTGTTTGACTCTTAATAATGAATTGACTGAATAAATGCTTCCACTAATATTAAGACACGCCTTTGCCTTTTTAAAAGGATGACTCCTAAAATTGGATTCCCATGGAGTGAGATCAGAAATATTTCTTTTAATGATAAGAAGTTTGTCATCAAACCAATTGACAAGAAAGCACCGGTATGTAAACTGCCATTTCCTTTGTTTCATTCTGTTATATTTAACTTGCTAGGTATTGAGTAATAATGAGCTGAATAAAGTCACTGGGCAGTAAGCTGTTCTGTATTTGAATAACAGTTTCACAGTCTGCAATATTGCTTTCTTCTACGTTTTGTAATCTTCCTTCAGTTTTTTTTTCAAGGCAGACAGCTGTGCCATCTTGAAAAAACAGGGCACTTACTGCTATTAAATTGATTTGAAAAAATGAAATCTTTCCTGTATGGAGAAAGAAGTAACATAATTACATAAAATTTGAAGTGAGATTGAACATGTCATTCTCCCTCTAAAGGAGTTATGCTGTTAAAAGTGTCCTAGATACCTAGAGCTTTTCATATAGACCTGAGACTTACAAAAAAGAAGGCAGACCTTTATTGCGAGGATTTATTTTTACTTGGCCTCCTGCTTTTTCAATGTTATGCATTGAATACAAAAATTGGCTACATGAATGAATTGTTCCAAATGTTCAAAGCACATGAAGAGACAATTTTTATGAATTAAAAATGAGCCAGATGACGTAAATCTGAGCAATTTTTCTTCTTCAAGAAAAGAATGCTAAACAAAGTCGTTAATATATTTTTTACTGTAATTAAAAAAGGAAAAATGGTGTCTTAGGGATGTTATTAACACATCTAAACCGGCTTCCTCTTTCAGGACTTTGTGTTTTATGCCCCTCGTCTAAGGATCAACAAGCGGATACTTGCCCTCTGTATGGGAAACCATGAGCTGTACATGAGGCGGCGCAAACCAGACACCATTGAGGTACAGCAGATGAAGGCCCAGGCTCGGGAGGAGAAGCACCAGAAGCAGATGGAAAGGTTGGTTATAATCAATAAGATGTTCCCCATCAGTCATTCACAAATGTCATACAATGATTCAGACTTTTCTGCCTCTGAATCTCAAAAACTGCTGTACATACATACTGTAAATGCCTATCTGCTGTTTCTGTTAGGAAGTCTTACTATTGTTCTGTTTTATGCACATTTCAGGTTTATTTGATCACTCAGATAACAGGCTTATACTGTATGTACTGTTGATTCACATTAGTTACCCGAAACGTTGTGTTTTCTTTCTTCTTTTTTCAGCATGGAATAAACCTATTACTTGTTCCTTAAGCATTGCCCGTTGTACTAAGTTATTCACAGTTCTGTCCTGATATGAGTAATGAGTTGACTACACTTGCTTTCAGAAATACAACAGTTTTTTCTTGTACTCAGGGCACTTTTAGAAAATGAAAAGAAGAAGAGAGAGCTGGCTGAGAAGGAGAAAGAGAAGATTGAACGTGAAAAGGAGGAGCTGATGGAGAGACTGAGGCAAATCGAGGAGCAAACTAAAAAGGCTCAGCAAGGTTGGAGGAAAAAACAACAACTTCAGTTTATTGAAGTACATTAGCATTGAATGGGCATGATAAAAAGGCTTTCAACTTATTTCCTTGGTCTGGAGCACAGCTGTCATTTTCAAAGTTCTCCCTCACAAGACAGTACATTTTTTTGTTATGTTTTATTAAGGATCTGTGCAAAAACATTGAATCAGTGACACATATTTCGGACAACAGTTTTAGCTCAAACCTCCACAATTCTAAAACTCCAGGATTTGCCTTCATTACTGAAAGCCTGTGTTTGCCCCTGCAGAGCTGGAGGAGCAGACCCGTCGGGCTTTGGAGCTGGAACAGGAGAGGAAAAGTGCCCAGGAGGAGGCTGAGCGACTGGAGAAGGATCGCCGGATGGCAGAAGAAGCTAAGGCTGCACTCCTCCAGCAGTCCGAAAGCCAGATGAAAAACCAGGAGCACCTAGTGAGTGGGACCTACTGAATAATCCATCCATTTTGTATCCATTTAATCTGGTTCAGGGTCGCAGAGGAGCTGGTGTCTGTCTTTGAAGCAATGGACGCAAGGCAGGGTACACCCTGGACAGAAGACCAGTCCATTGCAAGGGCAGACACACACATTCACACTAGGGCCGGTTAACCTACAAGTGTGTCTGTGGGAGGAAACCAGAACACCCGGAGGAAAGCCACTCAAACACAGAGTATATTTGAACTTCACACACACCCCAGGCCTGGACCCCAATGCTATGAGGCAGCAATGCTAACCAAAGTGCCACCATGCTGCTAATCACAAAAAATGCTTAGGCCTAATAAAGCTAGACCCATGGTCGTACACAGTGCAGTGTACGCTGGCCTCACAAACGTGTTTTTACATGAAACAGAATCTTCCACATTCATGTAGGTAGCTACGTCAGCATATGTAGGCTGCAAAAGAACACGTAAAGGTTTATTCCATGCTGTAAAGAGAATACCCGAAGAAGGCTCCACCGCTAAAACGTGTTTCTTTTCGTCTCTTTTCGGCATGGAAAAAACCTTTACTTGTTCTGTTGCACATTCATGTCAGTCATTTGTTTTTGTTTTCCTGTTATTTTCTGAGTACATGTTTTTGTTTGAGGATAATTGGTAAAGCTAAAATGTATTTGTATAATTGTTCTTGCTGCATGTGTGGAGATCACAGTCACACCGGTCACAGTTATAGGTAGAATTCAAAGTGCTTGGTTATAAATGTTACAGCACAGGAAACAGTTATTAGACTGTTCAAATAAAGTGAGCTTGTTGGAAGGGAACTGGGGAATTCTTTTCTTTTTTGGTTTGCACATGGTGTGTCTGGTGAATGCGTTTGTTATTTTAGACTCTTCAGTTTAAGAAAAAAAATACCACCCTTTCCTTTTTTTTTTTCCTTTTTAGGCCACTGAACTGGCTGAACTGACTTCGAAAATCTCCCTCCTGGAGGACGCCAAGAAAAAGAAGGAAGATGAGGCCCTGCAGTGGCAGCAGAAGGTGAGGAGCCCTGGTCTACCCTTGTAGCTAAAATAAGTCTTACAAGGGCCTTCTAAAAATGAACTGAGGATAGAGCATATGAGAAAATGTTTCCTTAAAATAAAATGAAGGTTTTAACTTTACTTCATAAAGCAAAACAATTACATTTTGGTAAAGAAATGTACCCAATTAAAATGCCAAAGTTAACGTGCGAATAGGCATCCAAAGCTTTTAATCAACCTCCCATTGCTTTTGTTGGTCGTAGTACAATGCCACGAAGAAGGCTCCACAGCCAAAACATTGTTTTCTATCTTCTCTTTTCAGCAAGGAATAAACATAATAACTTTGCAGCCTACGCATGCTGACGCAGCTACCCACCTGTAGTACAATGCTAACCCAAGATGTCTTTTCTATGATTGCTGTATCATTTGTATCCTGTGTGTCAGTTTTGTCCTGACTGGTCAGTGTGAAAAAGTAGAAGTTCTTGACCTGGGCTTGGCCTCAAAGGCGTGTATGCACAGCCTATCCAAGGCGTCGGTGAGCTCCAGTTGTCTGTAAAGGGTGGTCTTGCTTTCTCTGAGGCAGGGAAATCCTGTTTGCCTGGGAGGATGTTTGATGCCCCATTGTGATTTTTTTTCCATATTTTAGCTTTTGAAAGAGTGTAATTATAAATGGCAATTCCCAAATGTCCTGTTATTGTGCTCGCTAAAATAAACACCGATGGTTCCTTTGGTATACGAGCTGAAACTATCACCATTTCCTACATTACTTCATTAACAGTTTAGCAGTCACAGGTTTTTCAAGTACAGGTTCACTGAAATTCCAACTAAACTATCACGATGTTGATTTCAACCATCTCAGCATTTTCATAACTAATGTCATAGTTGAGCTTAAAAGTCACATTTCTCCTAAAGTAGAACAGGGTAAAATCTTCCAATATATTAATACAGATTGGTTAAAATATTTTTTGTGGGTTGTTCATGGTGCAAGCTAAGTCTTAAAGTTCATACATACAGAATTGGCTGTACAAAAAGTCGTGCGGTGATGTTAGCAAGAGACACTACTCTTACAGTGTTCAGTAGTCTAATTACAGACCTACCAGGTACTCCTAATCTGGCATGGGAGTCATTGACAGAGAGCCCAGTCTTTAAGCAATTGGTGATGTCAAACTGGGTGGATACATACTGTATATTATCACCAATTGTTTGATTTTTTTACAGAATACTGTAATTTACTTATGTAGTAGATTACTTTGTAATAATACAGCAAATATAGGCAGATATTGATCATAATTAGACTGAATATGATGTGAATATTAATGTGTGAATGGTATGTAATAGCTGCTCCTTATTACCCAGGTGAGGCTGCACTTCATTGATGGATGCCCTCTTCTATATGGAAAGTGTTTTGGGAGTTTATGGGTTGAAAAAATAACTTTTTAAATATAAGCCATTAGTTGTTGTCGCATAAAAACATTTTGTAAATGAAACGAACTACAATGGAGTGCGCATTTGTTGGATATAAAGCACAATGATAAGGTAGTGTATTACTGTTACTATTACTATTACTGTCATGGAAGAGGTAATTGTACTTGAGGGATTGTGAAAAATTGTGGAAAGTTTTTGCCAAAAAGGCAGCTCATCCTCAACATTTGTGTTATTTTGTAAGGCGACCATGGTCCAGGAAGACCTGGAGAAGACCAAAGAGGAATTGAAATCCAAGATGATGGTTGCTCACGTACAGGAGCCAGTCCACGAAGAGAACGAGCATGATGAGAATGACGAGAGCAGCGCAGAGGCCAGCGCCGAGCTCACATCAGCGGGCACCTACAAGGATCGTAGCGAGGAGGAGCGCATGACAGAGGCGGAGAAGAATGAGCGTGTGCAGAAGCACCTAATGGTAAGCGGAAGTTTGAGTTTCATGTCCATACCATATAAGGAGGCTGTTCTTAATAAGAACTCTGATGACTATATAATAAAAATAATTTCTTACACTTATATAGTGCTTTTCTGGACACTCCACTCAAAGCTCTCTACAGGTAATGGGGACTCACCTCCACCATTACCACCGATGTGCGGAATCCACCTATATCATTAATATTGTTAATTGCGTCAAGAATGATAACAATACCAGAGACTATAAATTTGGTGCTCAAAATGTGAGCTTCATTTTCCATTTTAGAATATATTCTCATTCATGCTTCTTTTGGTAACTAGAAGCACTTGCATTTCTTTGATATCGGATTCAAAACAAAACCCAAATGCAAAAAATGCAATGAGTTCCTTGTATTATAACCAAATAGGTCATTTGTGTACCACTGTCGAAGATGAGATAAATTTATGTATAACACTGACATATGTTTGGATTATTTAAGAAAACAATCTAACATTAATAAGTAAAGTACACTCTTTTTAATAAGTATGTGAACCCTTGCATTTAATAACTAGTAGAACATCCTTTGGAACCACTGACTTAAATTAGTCATTTCCTGTGACCATATACAAGTCTTTCTGATCAACCTTTTAGCCTGTTCTGGCTTACAAGAGTGCTTAAGGCTGGTGACATTGGAGGGTTTCCTCATAACAAAAACCTCAGTTCTAGTTCTGCTGGAACATTTCAGTGGTGTTTAGGCCACTAAGAATATTTCCTGTTGTGGACAAAAACTTTTAACTTGTTTGTATAGAGAGTGTTCTTCAGTAAGAACTTAAGTAAGGAATGAATCAAGAAGCAGCCATTTGGCCCATCAGGCCCTTATAGTAGTAGTACTTAGTAGTTCAGAGTATTTTATTCAGCCATACCATGAGTTCCATGTATTGGCTTCAGCAATATTCTGTTCTTAGTTTTAAACGCATTACAATTTAGTTTCCACTTGTGCCCTTGCAGTGGTATTGTGGTTCTTCCTGGTGCTCTTCAACAAACTTAAAATGGGTGGCAACATTCTTTTTAGATAGCAGTGGTTTATTCCTACATACAGTAGTAAAGCCTAAAGGTTTTTAGATGCTGGTGTTCTTTGTGACTTTCTGGATGATTTTCTGGGCTACTCTTTTTTTTTCCCCCAAGACAAATGGTGCTGGGTAGAGTCACCGTGACCTTGAATATTTTCCATTTGTTAACTCCCTGTCTGATAGTGGATGGATGGAGCCCCAGATGATACAAACCATTTCTAAACATTTTCCAAACTGATAAGCATCAACTACCCTTTTTCTAAGGTTCTTTTAAATCTTTTTTTATCATGGCATTGTGTTTTAACATTTAACCTGTATAATGGTGACCATAATGGTCTCAAACTTTCTTACCATTATGCAGAACAGGGTTGCTCAAACTCTTCTTTACTTTTCCAAAGTATTTAGCTACTTAATTTTAATGATCACCTTTATTGTGCTAAAAAAACTAAGGTTTCAGTTATTTCACAGACACTGATTTTTAATTACTATTTTTTTCTATTTTGTACACCATTGCACTTCAGAAAATATTGAATTGGTAAATATAAACCATTTTGGTTATTCAAGGAAAGGCCATCTTTTGACTAAGTTTGTCATAGTAAGAAACTAATTCAGTAAGGATACGGTTCTACCTACCACTCCTCCTGACATATTCCTGCTTCAGTACAAAGACTCATCATAAAGGCAAACTCATGTGAAATAAACTCGTCAGTTACATTCCTAACCTTAAAGAAATGTCCTTTCTGAATCAGAAAATTGGTTTCAGATGGTTTCCAGTTTAAACCTGTATGCCGTTGTGGATGATCAATAATAGATCCTCAAACAGATAAACAATTATTTCTCTAGTTTTTTTTATACACTAGTCTTTGTCTCTTGGCTAAAATAGAACATTAAGTGACTGAAAAAAAGCCTGTTTGTTACAGGATAATGTGTTGTGTGATATTTAATTTCTTACAATTTTATGACTTGGGCTCAGTTTATTAAAATAAGACTGTCAGTGTCGATGCTGCCAGGTTGTGGATCTTACATCTTTGCGGTATAAGAAGAATGTTCACAATGAAGTGTTAAATCTTAAACATATTAAGCCTTATAAATGTGTAACAAATGTGCAATTTGATTTGGTATGACCAGAAGTCATGTCAACTTGTATTTTCTTGAAACGGATAGGGCTTGGTCTTTATGCAGTCTTTTCACTGCACACTTTTCAAATTGTGATTAAACCTTTCATGGAAGGGTATGGCATTTAAAATTGTTTTGAAGGTAATGCCAATCATTACATTTTCTTGGTTTAATATTCACTTCTACTATCAGGATGCCAGTGATAGGATGTGACCTTCAAAAAAAAAAACTTGGTTACTTGCAATACAGTCTAACTGTATACTTGACAGTTAGTTATGACTTATTTTAGACTTATTACAAGATGTTCTGCTATCATTGAAGACTTAATTGAATGCAATCAAGCTACAGTAGTTTTTAAAACATTTATTGTAGAGAAAGAAGTACCAGTATTTTGATTTCCTTGCTTAATCCTCCTACATGTTCTTAGCTAAACTACTGGTTTACTTAATTAGAAGACTACTAGTCTGCATGTTATTCTTGATTGTATACTTCACAATTTTTTTCTAAGATTTTAAATACTATTTTTGATGTTGCGCTGTTTATTGAATATCCGAAGGTTGTGCATAACATGTAGAATATTCAGAATAATATTGGAGGATTAAACTAATAGTACAAAGTGCTACTCATCAGTAGGCAAAATTTCAAGAATTTGGTTTAGAAAAAGTCAAGCCTTTTATCATACCGTATCTTGTTTGTAACAAAATACAAGGTCATGTTGTCATGTGCATGTTGCTGTGTATTAGATCTTAAAAGCATTTTGTAGAACCTTGGTTGCATTGGTGACCAGTGACTGCAGTCCCTTATTATTGTGTAAGATCCCCACTTTCAGAATAGCTGCTAGGACCCTTGACTCGTGTGACACACCAATGAAACAAAACCTTGCTCCCTTGCAGCTCTACACACAGGAGAATGTAATGTGTATGCTGGTGCATTTTAGGTGCTACTCCAGTATAATTATATATGTGCCATAATACATGAACTACCGCATAGCTTGGTTTTTAGTGGTTGATTGATTGTAGGATGTCATCCAGCGATTTCTTGAAAGAAGACCAGTGCCTGGTTGGCAACCTGTGAAAACTTGCCACATCTTGAATAAAAATAGACCATACCAGACATTCAGTTTAATTCAGTTATCCTGGAACCAAATACTGTTCTTAAATTGTTTCAATGGCGGCCTCTAGTGGTATGAATTTTCAGCTTCTCCAGCTCCGCAGGGGTAATGCACCACGTTGTTTCATGGAGACTGTAACGTGCGTTTTTTTCTTTTTTGCTTGCTTTTCCTTAGGCTTTGAGTTCAGAGCTGGCCAACGCCCGGGACGAGACCAAGAAAACGCAGAATGACATGATCCATGCAGAGAATGTGAGAGCAGGGCGGGATAAGTACAAGACACTGCGCCAGATCAGGCAAGGCAATACCAAGCAGCGCATCGATGAGTTTGAGTCCATGTGATCGGTGCCCACTGATACCTGTGCTGGAACCACTACAGAGGAGTCCCATTGGACACTGCCGCCCCTTCACTGCAAACCTGTCTTGAACTAATCCGCAAATCAGCAGTTACCTTTCAAGATGTGGTAAATACAATACATTAATACTGAAACCGGAACATTTAATGTGAATTGCAACCATTTTGACTCAGTTTTCATGGGCGTACTTTTACAATTTATAGTTGGTTATTGCCTGACAAAGCAGTAGACCAATTTTTGTTTTTGTACACGTACTAATTTTAATTGGTTCAGTCTTCCCATTCAGTGTCAATAAAAATGTTCTAGTAAAGTTTCAGTGTTCAGTAGTCTAATTGCATACCATACACTAGGATAGTTGGTATTGGGGAAGATTTAGGAATTGTGAGAAAAAACAGACCTCAAAAGCATCTGATTGATGATTGAACCTTAGTGTGTTTTGATCCCCATCTTAAATTGACAACAAACAATAAAACACCAGCTTGGAACCACCTAATGGTTAAATGAAGGAGTTGTACAAATAGAACTGATTTTCTCTTGGTGTTTATTTTATGTTATGGGGAATATTAAACATGCTCAGGGTTAAATAAGAGAACTAATAACAGTTCTTAGTTAATTTTGACCTCTTCAATCAAATCTTCTGAACCCAAAAGCTGCTTTGATGCAATAGAGTAAAATATCACATTTAAGCATGACTAGAATAAATGTTGTGCAGCAATAAAGCATTTCAACAGTCATTTAGTAGTGTGTTTAAAAAGGCTTGTTTTTAATAGTATTTCTCATATTGTGCCTTCAATAAGAGAGGTTGAGCAGGTTTGTAGTGAGGAGTCTGTTCAATTGGATGGCTCCCCACTGTTAGTAATTTCAGTAAAGTAAGATACAATAGAAACTGTATTTCTTAGTTATTTTTTTATTTTAAGCTTTTAACTTTTTTGTAAGTCCACAATGTTGTGTTCTTGAAAAGCAGTTCTTGTCTTCGTTACGTGAAAAATCTGATAATTTGCAGTATTATATTTTCAGACTCAGTATTAGATCACAATCCATGCAAGGCTGCAAAACCATGATTGCTCCTTTTATAGTTGGTTACATATTTTTCAGTGAGTATTATTCTCTGATATATCTGTTATGATTTTTATAGCTATGCAGAGTAGTAAGTAAAAGATATATAGGATTTTCTTTTTATATAACAAATCTTTTGCGAAATGTTGTATAATATGAAGCATCAACTATTTTGAAATAAAAATATTGTATGCAGCCTAATTGTTTCAAGGCTTGCTTAGAATATTTCCATTTTTGTTTTGTCTTGATTAAAAAATAGCTTTGTGATTTTATAAAAAAAGCAAGAAATGTATGTATTACTAATGTAAGAGGCCCATTGAAATATTCATTTTAGCCTTTTTTGTTAAATTATGTGAAAGACAGAATGCCACCATATCAGAAGAATGTTAATATTGCATTGCTGTATTAGCGACAGGCAGTGCCTTGTTTTCATAATAATAAAAATGTTCGCTGCTTGAAAGGTTTTCATTTCAAAACTGTAATAAAATTTAAAATAATCTGGTGACTGTAATATTTTCTCTCCTTCCATCTCTCTCCTCTGTGAGTGGGTGGGTGGGTGCTGGAGAATATGCACATACCAGGCAATCATATGGAGCTATTCTCATTTAGTAATTAACTGGCCCTCCACAGCCTGTGGAAATGGTTTGAGCTGGAACTTGAACATATTCCGAAGATTTTAAGATATTTGCTGTCCAATCTCATCTCATGAAAGCCACCCTTAGATGAGGATAATGGTGTGCGAGAATGAACTGTGTCCGTTTGTAAGATGGCTGAGATTTCTTCTGGACAGGGAAGGCACACAAACTAAGTAACTAAGCTCTGACTAAAGATGAGCCACGGGTGTGGAGGCTCTTTAAGACACACTGAACACCTCCCCGAGGGACAAGTAGACCCCCGGAAGGGGAGGACCATTCCTCCGATAGTCCTGGAGCGGATTGTGACGGAACATCAAGGTCGTCATTTTTCCTTCATTTTATTTTTCGTTTTGCCTGTCCTGCCGTGCCTCTCCACTGGGGCGGGCTGACCCTTTTTGCACAGGTTGAGGTTTTTTGTTTTGTTTTGTTTTGGCCTTTTACTCCCTGCTCTACCAGACTGGACCCTGTTCAGTAGGTCCAGTCTGGTAACCGCTGTGCTAAGCGGGTTCTTTTTCCCAGGCTGGGCCCTATTAAGTACGGTAGAGTAAGTTCAGACTGGATGCTGCAATGCATGGCGGCGCATATTTGTTTTTCGTCCCCTCAACCCCCCCCCTTTTGTGTTAGTTTCATTGCGTTGTTTTCACGAACCTCACACCGGTGCCTCCTCCCCCTCAGATGGGCCACTGACTTTTATTGGTGCTTGCCGTGGCTCCTCCCACTCCCGCATTTTTACAGTATATAAAACCACACTCCGCGGCATTTACTGAAGGTCTGTCTTACACCTTTTTCTCTATTCTACATGCTGTGTATCTGAAGCATCAGGTGCAGTTTTTCACTGGTTTTATTTTGAACCATGACCACAGTCTTTTTGCATATGAGGAAATACATTCTGACAAATGCAGATCTCTGAAGAGTGCTTAGATGCTCTATAGCGGATGGAGCTATGAGATGTAGGAAAACCTTTCTTTATCGAGTACTTTCATCTCTTCATCAAAGGATCCCACAGTACATTGCTTACAGGTGGGGCCTCACTTAATTCATCCTTACCAGGATGGCATGTGCCAGCCATTTTAAATACGTACTGTATATGTGTGCACGTACCTGGATACAATATTGTTGCCAATACCATTAAACTCTGCAGGTCAAGGGCAGTGTGCATTTAGAGAGGGATATTTGCACAAGTATTTAGTTGCTTAATAATTCAATTATAAATGATGTAGAATTTTTCTGGACATCCTTGGGTGATGGGAAAGATGTCACTGGTTAAGAGTTACATGTACTGAAATTATGTAAAACTGAGAGTGTGCCACAGGTGAAGTGTCCCTGTTATGATTTGATTGCATTTAGATGGGTAAATCGTATATCTTTTGTGCACTATGGACTTTTTGCACAAAACCTTTTACTGATAAAGATTATCTATGAACTACAGTGCAATTTGTTTTTAGGCACAGAACAGTAGAACTCTTGAAATGGGACTGAAATGGGACTGAGTTTGCTAATCTTTCTTCAGGGGCCTTTGATTAGAACAGCCAGAGCAAAACAAGCGTCATCACCACCAATTACATTTAAATGTTATAGACTTACCATTTTAGCAGAAACAGGGAAAATGTACAGGAAATGCAGTAAAACTAGAAAGTAGTAATTCAGTGCAAGATGACAATGGTAATTTAATCATCATAAAACCATGCAAATATACTGTATACTGTATGTGGACTGATGGATATGGTCAGTTTCAGTCAGTGGCCTTTTTCTTTGTGACCTTAACCAGAAATGGTCTTAAGTGCCAATTTACTATAAATGATGCTTATTACTTTCTGATTGCTACTTCTACCTGTGCCTTAAATCATTATTGTGTTGCAATAATAAACATCTGTTTCTGGATAGCCTATGCAAGCAGAAGAGAAACACACATTCACATTTATTTTTGCTTGCTTCACTAACATTTCTTCTAGGTCTTTTGGGTTATCAAGTACTGAACTCCTGAATGTTACAAAAACATGTTTGTGTCCTTGCTTAACAGCTGTAGAACATTCAGTATGTAGAATCTTATCTAAAAAATCCATATCAGAAGATTTAAATCTTTTTTTTTTAAAGGAGGTGTCTGATTTATGGAAACATCAGGTATTTGGACAATAAGTATAAAAGGAATCTATAATGTTATTTGCAGTTTTCTTCGGGGAAAAAAATCACTCAGCAGATATTGCATATTCTCTTTAATGGGAGAATTCTCTTTAGATGGTTCTGTATAGTTTTAGATCTCTAGACACTATAAATAAGAGAGAAAGGAGCCAATGGCACAAGGAGTTCTTGAACAGAGGTGAACAGTGATAAAATCCTGTTTCCTGAAACTCTTCCCCACTGATAGCTGATGTGTGGGGAGCATTCTGGGGCACTATGGCTGCTGTCGCATCATCCAGGTGGATGCTGCACATTGGTGGTGGTGGGGGGGAGTCCCCATTACCTGTAAAGCTCTTTGAGTGGAATGTCCAGAAAAGCGCTATATAAGTGTAAGCAATTATTATTATTATAAGTCCACGTAACAAAGTCTTTATTTCCTTAAAGAAGCACCCCCACCATTGTGCATATCAGCAATCATAGAACCTGCCCAGCAACAGCTTTTTGGTGTCACAAATATCAATTTCCAGCCCTTGGTGCACAGCCCCCACAGCATTATAACATTTGAAAGCAATTAGTGTTGACCAACCTTTCATTCACTGTGCTGGATTCAGACGATTCTCTGGTAGTAAGGATATTTTCTTAACTATTTGGTGGAAGTTTAACATCAGCAGCTATAAGCACAGACAACACATTTTTCTTCCTCCGCTGTAACCTTGCAGCATTTTTAAAAGTTCTAAACCTCTTAAAAAAGAAAACAACCCATTTAAAACACAGCATTTTATTCACATTTGTCCCAGTGCAATTCAATAGTTAAAACATTTACATAAAGCCATTTTGCTCTCCCTCGGCACTTGGTGAGGGTAATTTGAAGACATTTCTTGAAAATATGTCACTGAATGCAGAGCAGAGAGAAGTAAACATGCTGGAAAAGGTCAAGAATTGGAACACCATGAATGAAGGATTGATTCCTTACACTGCTCTGCTGGTGTCTTTAAATGAACTCGGATGACCCTGAGCTGACTGGATGATTGATGGAAAGATTCGAAGACCTTGGTGATGAAGGACAGAATTTTTAGTATCAGTATCAATGAGCCTGGTTAGTATTCTTACTACCTAACTCAAACCGTCTGTTTCAGCTGTCTTATGAAAGAAGTACGTTTTTGAAAAATCCATGTCTTAAGAACATTTGTAATATCGATAATCAGTATGTAACTATAAAATGTTTTGTTAAATACATTACGTTTTACTTTAATTGTGACAAAATCTTAAGTTCTGCGATGCTGATATCCAACATATGTCACTTAAAATAAAGTTTTGTATGTTTTACAAAATAATGCAAAGACAAAATAATTAGAAAGGAATTTCTATTGTCTATAAATGCTAATATAGATCTTGATTTCTTTATATGAAAATGTTATATCCTATAAAGAATGACATATATAAATAAGTAAACGAGTAATAAATGAGTAATAAAAACAAAAATGCAATATCAGAAATTATATGTAATTGTAATAAATGATTTTAAAGTGATATTCAAAATTACTTAGATGTCTTGTATTATATGTAATATAACTTCAACCAAGTTAAGAAAGCTTGATCATTAGAACCAGCCCAGAGGTGTGAGCTAATTTCAAGGCCATTTGACTTTATCTGTATTGAGTCCTTCCTGACAGTGCAAGTTTTAAGAGAAGCACAGGCAACATGGCAAGGTGTGTTAAACTCCACTCTTTCCTTTCTGCATTCGTCTCTGGAAAACCTGGCTTTATGGGATTGAAAGTGGCAAGATATTTAACTAACACTCCACAGCTCTCAACTTTACAAAACAGGGCTGTTAGCACAAACCCAGTGTCTTACAACAGTTCAGCAGAGGAATGGTGAGTGTTCAACAAAACATTAAACTATAATATATATGTCTATAGCTATAGCTCATATACCTGTCTTTGCAACAGAGGGTTTGTAACCTTTGTGGCAGATAACCTGAATCATCTCAATTTTATATTGAGCTTTATGTGGTAACTAGTTGGTTCAATTAAATAATTAAATCTTTCTGATGCTGATAAAAATAAACTCAGAAGACCATATGGTGCTCCAAAATGAAGCTAACGGTCTTTTTTTTTTCTGCTTTGAACTCTACTGCAATCACGTTATCTTTAAAAAACAGGCATTTTAAGTAGAGGCAGTTGAGGTTGCCTTTCTAGTTGCATAGTAGAAATTAGAATTGTACCCCTTAAAAATCAATGGTTTTCGCAATATAACAACAAATCTGAATGCGACCTTCACATTTGATCTTTGAGTTAAGATAACAGCTAGTTGTTCAAGGTTTTGAGACCACTTAACAAATAATTCATAATGTGAAAGTGTAAGCGTAAAGGTTAATTCTGAATTCAAGTACTACTTGTAGCAAATTGAATGCTGACAATATTTATCAGGTGCGCATTTATGATTAACTGTAATGCCAAGCAATTCTAAAGAGCTACAATTTAAATACAATATGGTTGTATGCATTTGCATACAGCAAGAGCTTTAACATGTAATTTTATATGGTATCTTTAGCCCCTACAGACAAATGAAATTAAAGAGAGAATTTATACCACATATTGTCAGATAATTAGATACAATACTACTATTAAACAGAATTATGCAATTTCTAATGATCATGTATTGGATTAGTGGAGGACTGTAATGTTCTAACACTGATAACAAGAACGCATTTTTTAAATGGTAAAAAAGATTGTGGTTTTCTAACAGCACTTTTTTTTTTACCAGCAAGTCAAGTGACAAGGTTGTAGTACACTTTGTGAACCAAAAAGGAGATAGAACTACTATTACAGCCACAGAAGGTGAAACCTTATTGGATGTTGTGATTAACATGAATTTGGACATCAGTGGGTTTGGTAAGTTTAGTGTTTCAAATTCTAAAATGCATACTGAACATACGTTTGCAGACTGATGGATTCTTACACATTTTCCAATTTTAAACAAACTTCGAGCATCTAGAATATTTAAGAAAAAGTACAGATGTGATGGATAGATAAATAAGCAAATATTTTATGTTTAGAAAATTTTTTGGATGAACTTTTGTTTTGCTTTAGAAAGTGATGGGCATACCTTCTGGCTGTTTCATTTTAATATGAATTTGTCTTACTTGCAGGTGCCTGTGAGGGTACATTAGCTTGTTCAACATGTCACCTGATATTTGAAGAGGACATTTATGCAAAAATGGAACCTTTGGTAGATGAAGAGATAGATATGCTGGATTTGGCTTATGGGCTGACCAAGACGTAAGTTAAATATGCAAACCAATGGACTCTGAAAGATCTGAACTGGATTGCAATAGGACAGCTAGCAAACCAAAATTCGATTAGCCTGTTGAAACGTCTTATGTCAACAAAGAGATAATCATTCTCAAGACCATAAATTTGATAAATCTGCATGTAAATTGTATAATATATGAAGTGTACTACTGAAGTTAAATTCAGGATAGTTCCTTAACACTGTATGGTCTTCAAGAATGCCCTCAAGGCAGGTCACTTTGCAAGAGTAGGGTGTCCTGAGTTTTTCCAAGAAGAGACAAGTACTTAATATATAATAGAAATTGCTGCTGTGTTGTCAGATCTCGCCTGGGCTGTCAAGTGTGTGTTCAGAAATGGATGGATGGCATGACTGTCCGTGTGCCACAGGACGTGATGGACATGAGAGAGACCATCGAGTCCAGACAGAATCAATGAACCATCTGCAACCTCTGCTGAAGCAGGCTCTGAAAGACCTTGTTTGATCTTTTTTATCACTTGGAACATCTTTTAACAATATTCACTGTTTAAAACTGAAACACTGCATTAGAGCCTTGGCTAGACATCCTGGTTTCTTTATTGCTCAATTTGTAGTTGGTTTAACTCTTTAGCTGCTTAAAACCACTGTAGTGTTGAAGGCATCTACATTTATACTTCCAGAATGTGCACCACTAAAAGCTACTTTATTCATCCAGCACTCACTAAGGTGATATTTTGAAAAGTAAAGCATGACTATGCTAGTTCTTTCTTGATATGCAGGACTCTTCAGAAGTTTATTCTGAAGCATTTAAACATGTTTGGCATGTAAGTCTGATTGATGAATACTTCAGAGTTACTATACTACTTTGAAATGCAAGTACAAAAGCTGTTTAAACAATGCTATAAATATTTATAACTTGTTTTCTAGTAAATAAAACCCAATTTAATTCATTTTGAAGCATTTATTTTTAATTGTGTCTTGAAAATAAATGTATTTATTAACTAGCTTCCCATGCAAACCAAATCAAATCAAAGTTTATTTATCAAATGCACAACAATGCGGCGTGCAGCAGTAGTTGCTGGCAATGAAATGTCTTTTTCTGCGAGCTCACAAAAATTACAAGAATTACAAAAATCACAAAAATTCACAAAAACACAAAAATCACAAAATTGAGGTTACATTTTTTAAATTGAATAAAACTCAATGCGAGTAGAGCTGTTATGTGTCCGTGGTGTATGCAATGTATACATCTACATGTTATGCAGTTATGCTGAATATAGTGAGAATTGTGTGTCCATGTAGCCGTTACAGGTGATTTGCTAAGGAGCTACAGGTTGGCTATTTAGCAGTCTTATTGCCTGGAGGTAGAAGCTGTTCCGTAGTCTGTTGGACTTGGACCGAATGCCTTGGTACCGTTTACCGGAGGGTAGGAGGGAAAACAGTTTGTGACTGGGATGACTGGGGTCCTTGAGAATGGACCTGGCCTTCCTTAGACATCTAGCTGAGTAGATCTCCTGGATGCTTGGCAGCTCACAGCTGGTGATGAGCTGCGCTGACTTCACCACCCTCTGCAGTACTTTGCGATCCCATCCGGAGCAGCTCCCAAACCAGGCAGTGATGCAACCATCACTGCCTGGATGCACACAGTATTTGAACATTTACAGCTTACATAGTAGGTGAGGTAAAGGTTAGGTGATTCCTTTTTGAAAAACATTAGTAGTCAATAATTAGAAGTCAAAATATAGAACAAAGTAATAACTCAAGTGCAAAGAGGTATTTTACTCATGTTCTCTGTGTATGACTAGGCTGTCTGAATTGGATTACTTTACTTTTTAGAAGTATAATTTCATGCTACACATTGCAAATAAACATGAAATAACTATACATTACTTCAGAGTTCTCATATGTGGAGAAAAAGAAAGCTAATCATGTATAATCATGTGAAAAATGCACCATGTGAAAAGAGTAGGGATGTTAGAGTAGGGGTGACATAGATTTTATCCGCATAATGCTGGAATGGGTTTGGATTGGATACAGGGAATGATGAGCAGGTAAAATAATAATAATTTGAAGTCACTTATTACAAAGTTCCGACGCACATCATTTATCAGATCTGACCACCTGCCTGTGTGAGTTTTGTAGAGACTGTTGTACTCTCTGTGTACACGAGGGGGCGGTATGTGGCCATGGATGTTGGACAGTTCATTTTAATGCCTAGTACTGTATAATCACCATTTAGCATGTATTTGCAATTTGAAAGTGTCTAGAAAATGTATTCAAGTGATATAATGTGAAAGAAACATTTTAATCTAATTTGATCTAATCTAAATCCATAATGCATAGTACAAAAATCTTTATTTTGCACCAAAACCTCTGTGATTACTATTACGTACTGTAAAAAGAACAGTGCAATAGGGTCCATACAGGGCTGATGTGCAGTGAATTAATGTCTTCTTTTCAAATTCTTCCCTAGTTCTGCTAGAATGGGGTTACCTAAGAATAAACATGGTGATTTGGCTTTGACTGACCAGTTTTTGTGCTTATCTGTTCTGTCACGTCTTACAAAATGTGGAGGAATGATAGGCTGTCTTTGGTGTGTGAAGAATCATCCTTGCAGGTGGCAGAACCTATTTTCTTCTTGGGTCTGCCTCGCCTTCCTCTGTGCATTCAGTTTGATATTCTATACCTTCTAAATCTTGATGGCTTAATTTCTGATCTTGTTCTATAATTCTCTTAAGTTTCAAAAATAGTTACGTAGCAAAATGTTTCAGTCCTCAAATGCATAACCTGATGTATTTCCTTTTGACGATATTCCATTGCTGTGGAACACACAAAGGAATTTATGATGAGTTTTCAAAAGTCATCATTTGTAAAGCATGCACAATTAATTTAGCATGAAGTGAATTTTTCAATTGAAAACTAATGAACAATTTAAATCTTATGGCTCATTTGTGAACATCATATTAAAACCACAACTTAGTTAAGAATGTGTAATCACAATTTATAAGATGTCTTATAAATATGTGTTTTTCATGTTTGTGTATGATGTTTTTTCCACATTCTGTAAATACAGTACAATTATTTTATCTATAATACTTTGTAATTGGAAAATATTTATTCGAAATAGAAATAATTTGTATTTTGAATTATAAGGTGATATAAAGGAAGGTAGAGTACATTGTACGTAGTAGTATATTACCTAAAATAAAAAATAAAAAGTATTTTAGTCATTTAGATGTTTATTTAAAAACTGTGGGAAAACAACATATACAATATAGCAGACCTGTGCAACAAGGTGTCCTGGAGAAAAAAAAAAAGATTTTAAAACATGATCAAAAACAGTTCAATATATTTCCTTGATCTGCTCTTTCTTTCCTCGAATATTTTCTCTTTTATATTAATAAGGCAATTGTAGTAAAGGAGTATTTTTTTCAAATGGTTTTTGCAAACACTATTATTTATAAGCACAATGACAAACCATTTTTCCTCCTACCTGGACAAAATATATGCCCCATGGGTAATTTGTTGAATTATTTTGTTTTTTCTTCTTCGTTATTTAAAAATAAAAGTAGAGACAGAAAGAACTTCAAGGTACACTGTTCTTTTAAAAAAAAATCACAGTCTTAACTCAAAGATTTTAATAAAGATAGAGCATGTTTCTAAAGTAAAAGTGCTCAGCACCCTCAGCAAACTCTATTACAGTGGGATAGAAATTTACATTAGCAATACTGTACATAAGTGGTTCCAAGCCTTTCCTCGGGAGTGCATCATCATTGTGGTAACTCACATTTGCCATAAACCACAAAATAGTGAGTAACAGTACCTATTAATTCTGCATTGATGTAACAACAAAAGCATTCAAAAATTCTCCTCAATCTTTTGTGGCTGAATGAAATTCCCCATTTCCCCTTTGAAAAGAAAAGCATAATTATGCAATTATGAAACATGAAATGTACAGCAATTTGTTTCTAGAATATGGGAGCAGGTAGGCTTTCTTAATTGATTTCCAGAGCCTCTGCTTCTCACAAAATCAAAGACCACACTTCTTCAATGGTCATGTCCATTCCCGGCCTTCTTCCTTCATTGCCCTTTGACAGGTCTCCTCCTAACCTGAGGGCCACAGCCCTCGCAGGTTTTGTAGGTCTCCTTAAATCATCAATAGCATAACCCAGGAAGATTGGTAAATGTGCTCAATTAAGAATTAGTTAGACTCATTTAACTCTTGCACTGCTGTGAAGCTGTTCATCATTTAAGGAGACCTATGACACCTACAAGAACTATTGCCTTCAAGGACCAGACCAGTATGGTATTTTTCTAGTCATCGTATTTGAAATGTACTCTCAGACTTTCAGAAAAGAAAAATGTCCTCCTCACCTTCTGATAACTGCCATGCATCCTCCACTAACAAAGAAAACCACATACTTTTGCCAACATTTCACTTGCTCGTTCACTTTACCTATACACAATGTCTATCCATTCATCCATTTTCTAACTGCTGTATCCGATACAGGGTCGCTGTGGAGCCGGAGAATATCGTGCCAAGCAATGGACACAAGGCAGGATACACTCTGAACAGGATGCCAGTCCATCACGGGGCACACACAGAGACAAATACAGAAACATACACTCAAACCAGGGCCAAATTTCCCAGAAGACAATTAACCTACCTGTATGGTAATTTGGACTGTGGGAGGAAACAGGTACACCCAGATGAAACCCACACAATCACAGGGGAGAATTTCACACTTCACACAAAGATCAGCCAAGGTCCAGAACTGAACCCAGGGCCCCAGCACGGCAAGAAAGTAATACCAACCACTGCACCACCATGCTGCCGTATACACCATCTCACTCTTCATAAATACTTACAAAGGTCAAAGAAGGCAACAACCAGCTTATTTTCGGTTGCCTTAAAGATCTCATCTCATTATATAAAGATTTAGGCGCCATTGATGTGTAATTTAACAAATTTATCTGAAAGCTGTAAATATATTGTGTTGACATGGGTAACTGGAGATGCTGTAGCTCTTTTTGCAATAAAAATGTATATGCCCACTGATATCACATTGAAGAGAAAGAGACAAATTGTACTTGTGACTATATTTACCAGAGTTGTTATGATTGTGATGTAGTGTTAATACAACTGAAGATTCAAGTATTTGATAACATTTAGGAAATGTCTTTCATTTAACCTTAGAAAATTAAAAAATGCCCTCTTCAAATGTTATCATAAATGAATGGGGAAGTCTGGAGAGCTCATGTTTAAGACAACAAAATGCTCTATGTGTCAGTGCTCTCCTAGAATTAAGTGATGCAGATGGACACAAATAAAGGATAGAACAATTAAAGGATTGATCAAGGAGTCAGAGGAAATATTTCAGAACCATTTACATGACTTGTTTTGGTATGCAGACTGTTTTTATAAAACATAGGTTTGTCAGAGGAGTGTTAAGTGTTTATAGAATTCACTGTTTAAGCACATCATTTGGCATGGAACATCCACTGCCACATCTAATATACGTCTTACAATATTTTCTCTGTTACAGTAATGCAAACAATAAACCATTGTGCAAAAGCGGTGGTGTAATTCACATATTCATTTCATAGATGCTTACAAAAGAACACTTGATGCATGATTAAACAAAAGATTCTTCTCCATGCATTAGTTTTCTAACTGTCTCTTGCTGTGAGGCTGTGTAATTCTTACTGTGCCATTCCAATTTGCTTCTTACTATTTCTTTTTCCACAGCTTTTACATCTGGGTGGCTGTTCTTAGGGTCACTGTGATGAAAATATTCCTTAACAGTGTTTCTGACAGCAGCTGGAAGCCTTATCCGAATTGTATGCCGTATTGTGCTGGCAGCTTTGCCATGAGTCTTTGACACTGGATGAATTTCAGGACTGTGTTCTGTGGAAATGTTGACCACTGGACCATCTGTGACAGCAGTTTTGGCCTGCCCATCATTCTCTTCAGAATTTAAAGATTGCCTCGTTGATACAGATCGCAAAACCAAAGGTGTATTTTGACCGTAAAATACACTCTGTGGGATATGGACCTGTAATGTTTGGTTTGTTTTGTCTGCATTATCTTCAGCTGCACCACTTGCACTGGACACACTCACTGAAATACTGGGCTGTTCTTTCTCATGGTGGTCTGAATGCCTTTTCACTGTCAGTTTGCTCGGGGCCATGTAGAATGTAATTTTTGTACGCTTTAACTTATCCTTATTAGGCATTGAGCCTTCAGGCCTAACCAGTTTTATGTGTTTCACTGACAGTTCTTTATGCTGGATGTTTGTCCCAGTTTTAGATGTCTCAGACGCCCGATCTGTTTCATTCCTGCCCTCTGATAGACTTGATTCCATCTCTTGTCCATCAATTTCTGAATTGTTGTCTTGGTCAGTCTCAGAACTGTTAATGTTCAAGGCACTCAGACTACCCGAGCTGCTTTGTTCTTCCTCAGGGGTCTGAACATTGGCTGCCTCCTCAGCCTCACTGCTGCAGTTATTGTTCTCTTCATCCTTTTCATCATATTCATCATACCACTTCAAATCGCAAGGTTCTCGGGCCATAGAGGATGGCAAAGCCATGCTCCAATCTTTGGGGAACTTACTGGGAGTATCGGGAGAAAGTGGCTGAAGTTTTGCTGAGGTCCCGAACAGGAAAGGCAATGAAGACACATCGCTGGGGCTGAACACTGAGTCGGAACAGTATGAGAAGGCACTGTCTAGAGAGCTCAAGGACGACGCAGAGGGTGATGTGGCTGTAGAAGACAAGCTGGAAAAACTAGACCTGTTGGACAGATTCATCCGAGGTGGCCCAAAGTGCCTCATCCTTGAAGCAATCTGAGGTGACCTCCAAAGGGAGTATTTGGACTTGCTGTTCAGCTTAGGGCTGCAGTCTCCTTCTGAAACTTTGGAACTCTCTATCCTCAGCTTCTGCATGTGCTGGAAACAGTCTGTCTGTCCACGGGTCATGGCTGCGTCACAGCTGGATTGACGCGCTACAGGAGCATGAAACCGAGTGAGGGGCTGGGAACTGATACACACACTGGGTTCTGAAGAACAGCGGTCTCTAGCAGACTGAATACTCTGTGTGGTGCCCAAACAGCAGATGGACCCAGTGGAATGGAAAGACGCATCATCTAAGTTTTCACAGCTGTAAGCACTGTCCTCGGTTAGGACTTCCTTTTTATATGTGTCAATTGCGTCCAAAAGCCCCCAGCCCTCCTTATCCTCCTTCAGTACCAAATCATTTAAGGGCAAGAAGTAAGAGTTCCTTTCCTGACCATGTAGTAGTTTCTGCCTCTCTTGTTCAGAATCAAATTCATCAGAAGAGTACTGCTGCTGCAAAGTATCCCCATCTAAAAAAAATGTAACATGCATATTACATTAGGTAGAATCATTGCTTATTTTAGCAAAAGAACAGAATAGATAGAGCTGATAATTAAAAATACTAAACAAATCAGAAACAACGCCAAACAAAAGTATTTCAACCCATTGTATGCAAATTTTTTTTAAAACACAATATTTTCACAGAACCTGAATGCTCAAAGTGAATACTTCAAACAATGAGAAAGGTTACCATAAATATTATCAAAAACTAAAGAGAAATAGCTTAAATAAATTGACCAAATACATTTTTCTGACACATGACTCAATATTTGGTGGAAGCTACTTTGGGAGCAATTACAGCTCCAGATAAATGTCTACCAATTTTATACACTGGTTTGGTGAAATGTTTGCCCATTCCTCTTGACAGATTTGCTCAAGGTCTCTCAAGGTTCTTGAGCATCACTTTTGGTTGCGTTTCAAGTCTTTCCACCAATTCTCAACAGAATTCAAGTGAGGACTTCACTGTGCCACTCAAGGACATTCACTTTCTTATTCTTAAATTAATCCAGTATTGCTTTGTTCATTGCCCTACAGAAAGGTGAACCTGTTCAAGGTATAAATCTTTAGCTGACTGAATCAAGTTTTGCCCTCAGGTTTCTCACAACTTTGCTCTATTTTTCCACCAATCTTGTCAAGTTTCCTAGTCCCTGCGGATGAGAAGCAGGACTAAAACAAAATGCTGCAACTGCTACGCTTAACAGTGGAAATGATGTTGACTAAGTGATGCACTATGTTGGGTTGAATCAGATGTGCTGTACTTTTTTGTTTTCTTGCTCAAAAAGATAGTTGCTTTTAAAGGTTTTGATGCACTTCTACTGATCGGTGCCTTTATACAGCTTTATCTCCACGTTGTTTTGAAAACTCCTTGGTTTTCATAGTTGAATCCTTGCTTGAAATTCACTACTTGACTAAAGAATGTAACATATACACTGTACTGTTCTGAACCACACTTTTTGCACTTCTTGAGGCTTATCAAACTGTGAATATACTCACCTATGGTATCCCCCGAGCTCTCTCTCTGCTTCTTGTTTATATTTTTGAACAGAGACATAATGTCATCTCCAAAAATAGTTGGGGAATTTTCAATTAAGAGCTGCACTAGTGATGCCACCTTTGAGAGAACATTGAGAAAACATGTTTTATTATATCCATAAGTGATCAAGATCTTAACAAGGGAGTTAATAAAAAACGTAAAAATGGTTATACTGCATATGGTCATATGTACAACAAGCATCTGTTGTTGTGACCTCTGCATTAGGTTTTCAAAATGGATACAAATAGATATGAGGCTCATCTGTGCTATGTAGCAAGCTGGAAGCTATATCTTCACTAATGTCTAATGTTACTAATTGCCAAGTTCCCTTGCTCTACACTGCATTCTGTTCCTCTCAGGGGAGGCCTCATTATCTCTGGAATTCACATCCTCAGATAATCAAAAACCCAGGCTCCCATGTACCACAGCACATATTTGTTCATAAATTAAAAACAACAACAAACCCCCCTCCAAAATATAATGATAATAAAAAAAGATCACAGAACCTAGATGGTCACAGTGTATCTTCTAACTCTAACCATATTTTTTTCCTGGCTTTGTTATCTTAACTCATATAATTTCTACGGAAGTGAGAGAATATTTTCCATGTGTTATAAGAATGCTTTATGACTTAAGCTTTTATTTTGTGAAGAATAAGGACCGCATTCACAAAAGATTCTAATGAGATAAGAAGCATGTAAGCCTGGGATAAAGGGAGAGAACTGAAGCACCGTACTCACAAACCTAGAGCAAAAGCACATGCATGTGTAAAATCACAAAATTCAATGTAAATTTACAGAGGCTGAAGATGCGGGCTAATATATGCAAATTATGCAGCAGGATAAAATACAGCTAACTATCTGCACACAATATTCACAAAATCTGTCTAAATATACATAAACATTTGTATGATTGTTTGCTTAGATGAAAAGCAGTTGTAATGGGGGACAAAAAAGGTCTAGAACATAAAGAACACAGATACCCAGATTATTATTTTAAAGGAACGACTAATAGGTTTATTCCATGCTGAAAAGAGAAGAAAGAAAAACAGCACACCTGAAGAAGGCTCCACACCCGAAACGTTGTGTTCTCTTTCTTCTCTTTTTCAGCATGGAATACACTTATTACTTGTTCCTTTGCAGCCTATGGATGCTGACGCAGCTACCCAACTGAACTACAGCACAGTACATTATTTTAAATACATAATATATTCTGCCCACACAGGGTTATGCATTTCAGTTTCCACCTATTTCTCTTGTAACCTGATTGTGGTCTTGGACGTTGAGCGCCACGTGGGCTTACAGTAAGGTAGGGCATCTTCATTGCATCTCACCTTTCTGGTGGATTTGCTCTCTTCCTCAGGGCCTGCAGGTACTGGGAGCCACAGCATGTTGGGAGCAATACAAAGGGCCAGATTGAAGGCAGTCATTTGGTTCTCCTCTGACTTCTTCTCTATATGGTGAAGCAGGCCGAAAAGGTGACGGAGTAAGGTGACATTTGCTTCTGGCAAATGGTCTACCAATCTAGCATGGGAAATAAAGAGGCTTATGTCTTTTTATCTATTATAATTACTGTAACACATGAGAAAAACTCTATGGATTATTTTATGAAAAATAAAGAATGCATTTTGTACATTTAAAAATAATTATTAAATATTTAATCATGATTGAAAAACAATTGTCCCGTACATCCTTTTTATATGGCTTATATTTCATCTAAGATGGACACAATTTTATAGGTATCTAATGGTAACAAGTGTTTTGTATACACTATGGACATTAAAGTTTAATAAAATGAAACAGGGAAATGTAACAGAAGCTCAATTTTAAAAGTCTGATATATTACCCAAACGGTTCAGGGCCATTATAGGATTGAAAAGGTGCTGTTATCTTAACAAAGCAAAAAAAAAACCTTACTCCATCCTTATGACAAAGTGAAACGTTATTCCAGGACCCAGAGCATTGAGGTGTAAATGAAAAGCCTGTCTTCCTTTCTTGCAGAGAAGCAAAAAACCAGACACTCCTTTGACTAGACAAAAATATCACTAACCTTTTCATGGCCTCAATCTTATCATCGTGCTCTTCAATCTCTATGACTTCCATCCACTTTTCATACAATTCTGTTGAGAGGACACTGCCAGGGATATTACGCAGAAAATCCTAAAAAAAAAACGTTGTAATAGAGGTGAACATAAAATCATCTTAATTTTGACACAAATAGCTTTGATGTTTGTTTAACTGGTTTTCAATTTTTTTAAACAAATATCTATTTTTACCATTTCATTTCTGATTTCATTTTGTAATCCTGCGTCAGCTAATGTAGGTACCTCAGCTTGTCAAAAACACCCTAATATAGAAACTGCTTTTATTTAGAGATGTTAAAGTATAGACCTCATATGCAATTTTGCATAGTTACTAAAAAGCACACCAATTTAAAAATATTGGCTCAAAGTGATTAAAAGCAACAGGTTCTTATTTCACAGCAACAAAGAATATTCAGACTGACATTTAAACAGATGTCTTATATTTGCCTCGGTACACATCTGGGTTTCACCAGGAATAAGGTAAAAACCAGTTCATATAGATGTCTTACAGTGATGACAGCTGCAGCCACAAATACAGACTCCCCTTCCACTTGGACACTGCCCCCTGAATTAAGTCTTTCTTTTAACTCTTTGCATGTTTTGGCATTTGCTGAACGTCTGAAGATTCCCTTAGTTGTTGAACCTTCATAGTACAGCAAGCAGAGCATGTCCTGGAAAGGAGAAGAAACAGTAAGTAAAGTGAGGATATCATCATGGCCTTCTGTTTAGAATACATGATTTCATTTTCACAATTGCATCATCATAATCTATTTCGCAAACTTCATATTTGCCATCAGAATAAAGATTCATAAACCTCAGATTTATTTTAAAATATAATTATTACACTGCAAATGATATGGCTGCATATTGATGATAAATACTTCATATAATTGACAATGGTTCCATACTTCTTAATTTATTTTTAATTCACAAATTCGTAATTTTCTATGGAGTTACACACACCTTAATTCATGGTTTATTCATGAGATATTCACTTACCACATTTCTAATGAATTAATCATGAAAAGTCTCTGAGTATAAACTGTGACCAAACGAATAATATAGTGTTATACAGAGTACTGTATGTAGTGTAGCAGGGTACTTCTTTGCAGAAAGAATTGCAATGAACATAACACGACCACTAGAGGCCGCCATGTAGACGGCAACAATACATTCGTAATTGGATCTCATCCCTTGCAAGTAGAACACTGGTGGACAACAGTTTGTCCAGAGTGGAATGTGAGGATTTTCACATGGGATTCATTTCTATGAAAAGGATATGTTTCAGCAATAGAGTGGGAGTCTGAGAAGAAGTATTTATGATTGTGTTTTAGGGACTTCTGGCTCCAATTTGTAAGATTTGTGTTTAAGAATAAAGCTGGACCTTCACTTTACTAGAAAGTGGAGTTTTCATTGGTAGCATGGTTCAGTGACATTAACACAGGATGGGAATCTTTCATAGTAATTCATCCTTCCAGTAATTCACAGCAGTGTGTTGTGGTGATCTGCAGTCTTCCTCTACATTAGATAAGACTCCAGTGTGTCTGAGGGCACACACACATTCACTCTCACAAGGATGGGGAGAAGCTATTTGGGGATGTAAATTAACCTGGACATCATGGCTGTAGATGGAAACCAGAGTACCTGGATAAAAATCTGGGGGGAACATGCAAACTCCACAGAGACAGATTTGAAACCAGTCACTTGGATCTGTGGGACAGAGGAACTTAGCTTTCATTTCTGCCTGACTGGTTATCAATTAATGTTTTTCTGTTCTACAACAGAAAACCTAACCTAACAACACAAACCCCAGACTAATTCTCACCATGATGGGTTTTGGAAGGTTTCCATTTTGACAGATTGTGGACAGGGAGTGACCGAAGAGCTTTCGGGGAGTGCTTGGGGATTCTCCTTGGCTGCTTGAGTGGCTGGTATTTCCTCTCCTCAGAGCCCAGTCTATTAGGGACTTTTTTCTTTTGAAGTGTTTTTGAAAGTAATCTAAGAAAAGAAATTCAGAATACAACAAACCTTAATGCATAAAATTTGATTACAAAACATCAGACAAAAAAGAGGGGTCAGTAGATTACTTCCTAATGTACTGAACTGAAGTGACATTATCAGCAATTCTTGAAAATAACATAGCAAAGAGTGCAAAAAAGGGCATAATTACAGGAAGTATAAAAATTGTGTTTCCTGTGCCATGTACTAAGAGTACTAGCGTGAGAGGAAGTTGTTTACTGTCTACAGTCTAAATTAACTTCTTCCTTCAGGAGGCTAAGATAATGTTTTTAATTTCCAAAGCATTTCCTTGTACCTAGAGAGAGGGTCTAGTTTGTTGTGAACACAAGGATTATGTCCATAATTACTGTAAATAAATCAGAGAATAAATTATGTGGGAGGTATATTTCATCTTGAGAAACATTAACTAGGCAAACATGCTTTGTAAATTCGATATGGAAATGAAATGTCTCCTGTGGCCAAGGTCTGTTAAATGAAAACATTGCAGTGATGATAGTTCGAGAATCCTACAAGGATAGAAAGATTTACTGTAAAATCTGTTACACTGCCTTGGTACAAACATTATGCATTTGTTAATGTTCAATTATATGTAAATGTTCTAGTGTAACAACCTTATATTATGCTTGTTCTTAAAAATGACCTTTTTCTTTGTTTAAAATTACTTGTTTTTTCACAAATTGCTGTAAAATGTATAATTTGCAGGCAGACTATTTATGCTGAACAGATTACTAAAATGAAACAAAAAAGTGCACCCAAAATTGTTTTTTTTTAATTATTAAATAGTACATGCTGAATTCTAATGAAATGTGGTCTTTCCTGCCTTTGACTGAACTTGAATGTGATCTTTTGCTTCCTTGTGTGAAAGGCACAAAATGAATTCCATTTTCATGCTTGTACACACCTGTCCTTATGTGGGTACGTACTGCCTTTCTGGGCTTCAGAATGAACTGGCACTGCTGATCCTTGGGGATCTGCTCTGGTAGAAGTGTCCCATCTGGTGTTATGATGTTGTTGTTGGCCAGGTAGCACTGGTCCACAGACTCCCGCACGCAGTTCATTATAATACTAAATGGGTACTCATGGCCTGTTCAGAAGAAAGCTACGTAATGAGTCATACAAATAATGGGGTAAATTAATTTATGCCTGATCTAAAATCAAGGTTAAATCTATAATACATTATTTTTCTATCTTTTACCTTGTTTGCTCTTGACAGAAAACTCACATTTTGTGTGCATTGTTGCCTTAAAAGACTTGTGCAAGAGAACAATGGTGCCAGACTATAAAAATAGCACAGACGTCTTGTCAGAAAAATCATGGACTTTCTGCTCAGTTCTAATGCAGCAGGAGGAATGAGCCACTAACAGGTGGAACAATGTCTAAAGAGATTAAGATTTTGTTCTCAAGTAGAATTTTTATATACAGTACGATAGCATATTGTGCAGCTAAATCAATCGCTGATTATCTTTGCATTTACCAGAATATATTTGAAAAATAACGTAAACATATTTATATTGTATGTAACATATATAAACATATTTTCCATATTGAACATTTATAGCATCTCTACTTCTTGTTATTTCAAGACTAAACTCTAATGTTATATAAAGATAAAGACCAGACAATCATCATGCCATAATACTACTGAATTTATCATTTTCAACCTGTCACTGCCAATATGTGTTTTTACTATCAAGTTAAAGTCCTCGGATTTTTCAGTTTATTAAAATAAAGCATTCATTTTTACATTTGTTCATGCCCAAAACCCATTCCTAACAGGCAAATATCTCAAAGCACTGCATTAAAGGGTTGCTTATACAGTATTTTTCATGGAAATAATAACACAATATATCACAACCTTTTACAAGACTGAAATGAAGTATGGAAAAGTAAACTATGTAATAGTAAATAATTCAAAAGCAAGACAAGAATGTCTGACCAAGTCCTGAAATGTCAGTTACATCACCATTCTGCGAAAGTAATTTACTTAAAAATACATTATCCACTGGATAAGCCAGTGATAGCATAAAGTTTAACTTTCTAAAAACTGAACCTATAAGGTATGTTGCTACATACAGTAGTTTTGTTATCATTACCACTAGATTTTCATTTTATTTGTAATCACAGTGTATAATCTCAATATCATTCTGATGCAAAAAGCTAACACTGTTTTATTAAACATACATTTCAGACATTCTTAAGCTCTTATGAGGTCAATATGTCTGAAATCTTTAAGATTCAAAGATTAAACCTTGCTTTCCTAAAAGGTGAAAAGATTTCAAAGTTATATTTAGAGCACTATACCCTTCATGAAGTGGTTTGTTAAAATTGGAAAGAGTTACACCAACAATTAAGCATTTATTAAAGTTATGGTGGCCTGAGAAAATCTCCTTTGTGCATTTGGTATTATCCCAAATTCTGGTTGTAAGGCTGTGTGGGGGTAAAGAAAACAGACTGATTCCTTTTGTTGTTCCTGTTCTGGCATCTGTGTTATCCTAGGTACAGGATAGTACATTTTCTTACCAATGAGAGGGTATGGGGCTTCCTCTTTCCCTGAAATTACCCAGAGATGGTAATCAGTCGGCCTGCCCTGTGGGGTGAGAAATGAATATTATGTCTCAGAAGGGAAACAGATAACTGGGGTGACAGTCATGGGAGAGAAGAGGAAATTCCTGTTGGGTAACAAAAAAAACACTGTTAGTCATTTTGTTTTCCACGGCTTTTACAGATGAAGACAGATGGGCTGGGGACTTCCTTTCTGGGGGAGTCTAATAGAACAGCTTTCAGGCATCATATCTAAATAATATTTCTAATAAAGTAATCAAGTGATTGACATAGTCTTTTTTAATCTATGAGGCACATTACAGTTTTTGCTTATTTTAGACTGTTTGGCCACAGGTATTGTTCAGAGAAAATAAAACAAACTTGTCCACCAAATCAGGGGTGAGTGACACAAAGAAAATGTGCATAATGCCAGATATCAGAAAGTGATAGATAGTCTTTGAATCTTTTATGACCAAAAATCGAAATACTGTAGATGCACCTGTACATACATAAAATTGCACCTGTACTATCTTTCTTTAGTTACAAACACCTCCACAGACCTATTCTACTTCTTTACATAATCACGTCAGTACCATAAAACTCATAATACACATTTCAAAATGAAGTGTAGAATCTATAAAGCATTTGACGAACTACTCACCAAAAATCCAAGCTGCTGTATGGCGATCATTATCACTTTTTCCACTGTATCTTTATTGCTCACATCTATGGTTGTTGTCTAAAGGCAAATTAAATAGCAACAAATAAAAAGTATAGTATAAATAACTGCTTAGTAAGAGTATTTTGAATTAGCTTTCATAATGCTGATGAATTGCACTTACAGATGTGCAGTTTCCAACATCCAAAAGCATTATTTTCATGGCTATTTTCTTTGGATACTCGTCTTGTTTCATTTCGTTGATCTGCCTGTAAGATGAAAAGGCAAGGATATTGAGATCTGATCCCACTCCATCATCATTATACAGAATGTATAGTCAAACTACTGTTCCAAGTTTGTGCATTGCTTTTTTTCCCTGTCATTTGTTTTCAGAGAATAAACTGCCTAAAAAAATGAATTTCTGAAAAGAATATGCAAAGCTGCTCTTTTTAAGTTGCTGTCTGAATATTTTTAGTCATAAAATTGGCATAATATTTTTTTCCCACCAACAAACCAGACAATATATCCTTGTGGAAATATGTACGTGACAATATGTTATAGTTTAAATAACACTTTCAACTGTAATCATAATTGCAATGATGTCACAGTTTAACTATTCCAAAAATAACAAAACTTAAATGACTATACTAGGTGAAATAAATCTTACCATTGCAGAGTTGAAAGCCATTTCTCTTTAGCTTCAGAGGAGCTGGAATTAAATATAGGGCATTAAAAAAATGCAAAATTAAAAATGCATAGTTTGTACTCTCTAATCTCAGTAGTATGAATCTCCTTTTGAAGCAAGGTCAAACAGAGTGTCTAAAGCCTCAAAGTGCCTGAGGCCTGCACAGTCTATCATTGTTAATCCTCTTATAGAAAGTTAACTCCACAGCATTTACAATGTTATACAATGTAAAGGTTTTAAAGAGAAAGAGAAAGCTTGTTATTTAAGTAAAAGAAATTCAAGACATCCATTCATTTTCTAACCGTTTCTTCTAATTAAGGATCACAAGCCTATCCAAGCAAGCAATAGACACAAGGCAGGATACACTCTGGATGGGATGCCAGTCCATCACAGGACAGGCAGACAAAAACACAGACATGCACACACTCATACCAGGGTCACATTTCCTACCAGCCAATTAGCCTACCAGTATGTTTTTGGATTGTGGGAGAAAAAACACACAAACACAGGGAAACACAGGATGTTTTTTTCTAACCTCAGAGGTGACTCTACTCTGATCTAAATCAATTAGACTGACAGTTTGTTGACAGTTTTCATTTTAGGAGGTGGGTTTCTACTCTACTTCAATGTGGACAATGACCTTGCACAGTATATAGACATTCTGTGCTTAATAGAGCACAACATGTTATTTTTTGCAAAACATTTGTTCAGACCTTGAACAAATATTTTACCTTAGTGTAACCACATAATTTGTGGTTGGCCAGCCGATGACGAAGGAGTTCTTTAGGCTCAGCTTCCTCTCTGCTACCTCATCCATGCAAGATGCAATCCACATCTCAGAGAGACGCACCTGATGTTTCAGCTTTAGGTTAGATGAGGACCTACATTGTGAAACACAAAATAAGGTAATCAGCTCTTTTTCTTTAGCAATCAAATTCAGGGTTGGAAATATCAATGCTTTTGTTGACCATGTAATTCTATAATATTACAAATTAGCAGATGCCAAAGAATATTTTTTCACATTAATGTTTGTCATCATCAAGGTTACTAAATTCCAAGAGGTCAACATATTTCAAGAAAATGGAACGTTTTAAAACAAGTTACTTCAACCTTTTTACCTTTTGTTGCTGTTAATGTTTTAATTCTGTAGTCATGATAGCTTGTGGAAAGTCATTTGAAAGTAATGAGGGCCGAGATATGATTTTGCAGAAATCTCACTGATACACTACATCAGCTGCATTTGTAATTTTGGCATTATCATTAAATTGATGAAAAGCAGGGTGTGACAAAAGAGTTCCCTTCCCCTCCCCAAAATAGATGGCATTACTGATCACTGGAATAAAAACAAAATGCGCACTCACTTTGACTTGGCTATAATAAGGATGTCACTGAAAAGGAAGAGGTGCCTCTCTTGAGTCTGTAGGCCTGTGGTGAGGTGAACATGTTCCTCCATGATGAAAGTTGATGTCTGGGATGTAAAGGCCTGGATGAAAGAGCCATTGTTGGAGGGGACTGTCAAGAGATGCCCATCTCTGGAGATACAAAAAAGACATCAAGTTGATTGGTCTCTTTGGCAGTCTGCTTCTTACACTCCCTTAGTTTTTTACATTTTATTTTTGTTGTGGGGATATATTAAAACAATTCCTTTAGCTCACAGTGACATATATTGTTTTATTAGCTCATCATTAATTAGTAGATATTTACTATGAGGTAAATATCTTACCTCATAGTCTTACAACAGCCAGATTATTAGAGTACTCTACAGAAATATTCAGACTCGGTACGGTTTTCACATTTTGTTGCTATAAAGCTTTCATTCATGACACTTTGAAGCAGTGATTACTATTTGTTATATATGCAACCTACTCCACACATTCCAGAACAATAAAAATACAGAATTAAATAGATAATTAATATGAAAGAAAAATGGCAAAGCTATGATTGCTTAAGTAATAATAGAGGTTAATATTATTTCAGAATAAATATACTGATCCGTCTCTATGAGGCCCTACAGACAGGTAGTGAATTACAAGCAAACATTTAACCATGAAGAGCAAGGAGCTTTCAAAACAACTCAGAGATAAAATTGAAGAAAGGCACAGATCATAAGAAGAATATAAAGATTTTTGAAAGAATATTCCTTTGAATCCAGTGAAGTGGAAGGTATATTGTACCACCAAGACACTGCCTAGATCAGGGTGTTCGAAGAGTTCAGTCCACATAGATGACCTCTATGGTAGAGTGGAAAAGTCATCTCAAATTGTGCATGGAGCTTGCAACAAAGCATTTATATGATATTATAAACATATGGTAAAAGGTTTTGTAGTTAGATGGCACCAAATTGGAACTTTGTGGTCTAAATACCATGCATTACATTTAGCTCAGACCTAGCACAGCATCTCCCAGACAACAATCCATACAGTCAAGCATTGTGGTGGCAGGATCATGCTATGGGGGTGCTTCTTCTCAAAAGTGACTGCAAACTTTTTAGGATTGAAGGAAAAGTAGAAAGGAAAAATTCTTCTAAGAACTTAAAACTGAGGCACAAATATGTAGACATTGGTCTACAGTAATGCGCAAGGTCAGAGCTATGCTGGATTAATTTAAGAATAAGAAAGTGAATGTCCGTGATTTTTCCAATTAAAGCCCTGACTTGAATTCTATTGAGAATCTGTGGAAAGACTTAAACACTGCAGACCAAAAGCTATCCACAAACAACTTAAGAGAGTTTGTGCAAATCTGCCAAGAAGAATGGCAAATATTGCACCAAGCCAGTGTGCAGTCAGTAGACTTACCCCAAAACACCTGTGGCTGTTATTACTACCAAAGGTACTGCTAAATATTGACTTTACGTCTCTGAATACTCATGCAATCTACATGTTTAAGTCTTTTTCTCTTTCAATTTTGTTGACATTAATTATAACTTACTTTACCCTTACAAGTTTTCAGTTAGAGCATTTTATCTTTTTGATTAAAATATTATTTAGAAATGTGTATGGATTATTATGTAATTTCACAAAACTAGAAACCATGTGAAGAGTCTTAATACTCTTGCAAGGCAATATACAGTATCATGCATACATTTGCCTTTGTTTGCATGTGCAGTATTTATGTGTACAAATTTCTCCAAGTAAGAAGCTGCTTGAAGGTTTTTGTGTGTGGATAAGACAGGGTATCAGGTGCCAAGGATGAAACAAGAGGAACAAAAAAGTCCATATAGAAGTATTCATGTCTGTCAGCACTTGAGACTGAGTGAAAAAAGTCTGAATATAACTTTAACTGTCATTTAACTTTGAAAATTTTAAATGTACTGTATGAGAACACAACTGGCAATACTGTGCGAAATGAAAAATTCCATGTTCTGATAATTATAACACATTAACAAACAGAACTTTAAGGAGATAACAGGGTGTAAGTTTTGAATTGTCTTAGAAATGGTTCCACTATCACAGATACAGGGAATTTGTAATCACTTAAGAACAATTGACGCTATGTCCTAACGCATTCCAAAGTACTGTTACTGGAATAAAACTTAAAGTCCTGTGAAATGTGTTCCAATTCTTGATTATAAAATTGGAATTCTTGATCAGATGAATATGGATAAAACTTGAAAAGTTTCTGTGTTCAATTCAGTTTTTATTTTAATTTAGCACATTTTAACACTCTCAGTTTTATCTGTTGTAGACAAATTTTCTGAAGCAATTTAAAATAAATTAGAATACAGTAGATGCAGAGAAGTGAACATGATATTTAGGTAGCATTTATTTAAATTTATTTGTTATTATGGTGGAAATACAGGTCAATTCCACTCTGAAAAAAATAATCAAAAGTAATCAAAAAACGCTCTGCAACTCAAACCTTGTTTTTGCATTTTACTTTCCTGCATGGAATTTACCTCTGTTGGGTCCTTTAAAGCTCCCCAGTCAAACTGTTTGAAATTACAGCTAGTTTTTAAATGTTTTACAGATGATTAACAGTTTTACAGTGGCTTTCAGAAGACAAAACCAATAACCATAAACACTTTTTAGGACCCATATACTGAAACTAACATTAAACATTCAAAGATTTTTTCAGCATAGGAATAAATGCATATTGGAAAAAAATCAGAATTGGTGTGAAATATTTATTGTTTTAATGTGAGAAACTCAATTGGTATATTTAGTCTTTAGCATAGCCTGACTAAACATTAACCCAGACAGACGCTTTTCAAATCCATTCAAATAAGAGAACAGACTGTGTCAAATGGATATACTTACATTTAGCTGCACATTAAGCATGAAATCTGTTAATACGTATCACTTTTCCATTTCAAGTGCTTAGAAGCAATTTTTGGGTTAATTGCCAGCTCTTGTAATACTGATTGATTACTGGATTACTCTTACAGCTTTGTGCGTCAATGTGAAACACAAATGATCACAACGAGGGATCCAAACTACGCTGGATAAATGTTAAGCTTTTGTAAACACAGAGACACATGAAAAAAAAAATTCCACTCATTTTCTTTCAGGACAAAGTCAAGATGGCATAACAGTTAGAATTCCAAGGCTATATTTCAAAGCCACTGTTTAGATTTTTTTTTCATTATTTAGTTGCAGTTTCCATGATAGAACTTCTCTGCCGCCAAATAAAGGCAGGAATTCCTCAGAGAAAGGGACACTGGGTCTGAAGAGAGAAAAGTCCCATGAAGACATTGAGTTTGAACAGAGCTTTGTGTGGGGGATAAAGAATTTGGAGGTTAATAAGTTTTACAGTTCCAGGGCATTTGTGTATAAACTTTGGTGGTGTGTTACACAGAACACAGCTCTTGTGATATGACAAAAGAGGGTCTTGGCATATAAGACACCTGTTTGTTTCATACCTATACACGCCATAATTTGTCTTTCTATCTATCAGAAATAGTGCTGGAATTCCACTGAAGCTAAAACTTATTAAGCACAGCATAAAAAAGTTAAAACAACCACTAAAAGCACTAAATGTAACATAAAGCACAGGCTGGCTAAAGACGTAAATTGCCCAGTACTTTAATGTGTTCTTATCAGCTGCACATTTACTGAAAAGTGAAGAAACTGTATGATGGTATGAAATTACTGCAGTGCTTTTTCAAGACCTGAATTAGGACAAAGGTCAAAGCTTGTAACCTGTGGATTAAAGGGTATTGATTTTCTGTCTCAGAAAATGTCAGAATTTGACTCTTGATAAAAAATCAAATTAAGCAGAATAAAGATATTCTAATTATTTTAAAACCGATATATACTGTACCATACAGTATATACTGCTGCACAAAAGAAAACACAATAATGATATGATTTTATACAGAACAAAATCACAGAAAATGGAAAATGTTTTCCATTATGAAATGCAACATGAGACCAGATGTCCATCACAATGTTAGTATGGGATATGATGTCTTTGAGCACTAAACAATCCTGGTGTATGCACACTCGATAAACCTTTGGATACATAATGGAATGCACTGTCTCTCTCGCAGTGCTGGTTCAGCTAACAACTGGCCAAGGTTGGTTGGTTGTGATTGGCTCCTGTAGATGGTATTGGTAAGTTGGTCTCATTCAATTAGATACCCAATTGGACTCCCATCACAAGAATAAGCTGGCCATAGCAAGACTTCAACTGTCTCAAAGCCTTCCACGATGGGAGGAGGCATTGTGTGGTTCAAAGCTGGTATATGCATGAGATACCAAGATTAAATTTTGACAGGGATGAGATGTATGCATTACGTATGTGCTCAATGAGCTATTGATTTGAAATGTAAATTATTGTGTGTGTTTTGTGCATCACTATAGTTTTACACCTACAAGTAAAGCATTTCATTGCGATGGTTTTTACAGTGTAAGACTGAAATGGTTGAAATCTGACCTGCTTGATGTTCTGGATTTGCTGAGGGCCTTAGTGATGGCTGAAGGGGCAGAGCGTCTTCTCTGTATGGTCGTCTTCATCTTCTGAAAAGAACAGATCACCGTAAACACTTGCACAAGGGCCTAGAGAGTCATATTTCGTGTGAAATAAAAGCTAGTAATTCAGAGATTTTTGCATGGGCAAGTTCCTAATGTTCAAATGATCAAGACAGATTGAATAGCTTCCTCTATTTTAAGAAGCTCCTACGATAAGTCTGATAGTGGTAACCCTACTGGAGAGTATATATTAATATAGCTGCACAAATAACAGTGAACATGGAAGAGTACATTGTTTTACTAGTGTACCATGCAATGCCCATGACTTTTCTACTGAATTCCAATACCATAGATAGTGGTGAACTTGCCTATTTATTGGAATAGGAATATTTCTGGTTATTGGAGTTAACTGAACTAAGTGAAAAACCCTAGAGCCAATGCATTGAGATGTCAAATGTGTATATGATACTACTCTGGCTCTTGTGTTAATGATCAGAAGGTAAACCCTGTCATTAAAACATTTATTTTTGAAATGGTGCAGGTTACAGATGTGTGGCTTAATCCCTAATAGCTTGCTTACGTTGACATTTTTTGCAGTCTTGTCTAGTTGAGGCTGAACAATAGACCTTGATATAAAATTAGTCACTTTTCTGAAATTGACTTTTGACATATGAGAATGAGTAAGCTAGATGTCCAGAATTAAGTCAGAACTCTCAAAAAATGTACAGTATGAACATATTTTCATATATCTGTCTGAGATACAGGAAGGATAGAACACTCAGGGATTGAACTTTAACCTGGATCGCTGACAGGAAGGGTTAATTACAGTATCTCAGCAGAGAGAAAATGGTAAATAGAAGTTTAAGTTGGGATTGGCTTTGGCATTTATTGACTGCAGAGGAACAGTCAAAGGTTAAATCCACCATGAATAGCAGAAGGAAGGAACATAGCGTTTTGACCGTTGAGCCTTACAACCCTGAAGAAGTTTGAATATCTGAAAAGTTGTGTCTTGTCCTTCTACTTTTAAAGTGGTAGCTGGCTGCTATGCGCACCCTTGGACACACACCAAAGGATGTACCCATCACTTATCTTTGTTTGTTCAATAGGACTAGAGTACCAAAGCTCTTACATTATTTACACAGTATATCTTTATTAGGGAAGCAGGTGCTTGATCACAAATGGTGGGAGTGAGAACCTGATTTAAAACATACAGTGTCTGAGAAACAACACCAGAGTTAGAATTTATTTCTAGTTCTTTCCAAAACAAGTCTGATGATGAAAAGAATAATCAAATGGATCCTACGGGATGTCCTCTTTTGGTGGTGGGCCTGTTATTTTGTGTGATTAAGTAGTACCATTTCAAATATCATACTGATGACCACACGCTCCAGCCACAAATTGAAAATTCAATGAATGTAATAATAGCTAAGGGTTTGTATAAACTATTGGCACACACAGCAAAGCTAGAATTTTTCTGAAACCTGATGTCAATGACTGAGACTATTGGGCAAAGTGAATGGGCATTTTCACAGCAGCTAATATTGAAACAATATAGAAATATAACATTTATTTTGTAAGAACATTTTGTTAAACAGTATGTGTGTACGAAAACATCTCTATGGTTCAGGCTAGAAGTGCTTTACATACAGATAAGTCTATGCTGCAGTACCAAAATTGATGTAGCAGTGGAAAGCAGTTCTCCAGCTTTTATTGAACAAGTTAGGGCACCATTCTCAGTTGAAACCATTTAAAAATTAAAAATAAGAAAAGTAAATTCTCCCGAAAAATGAAACATCTCAGTTCAGTACCATCAGTTTATTTATTATTGTAATTTTTATTTTTTAGTGGTATATTTTTGTGTTTTTTATGTTTTGCAAGGGAATAATATCTACCATAGAAACATCTGTTTCCTGTTCCTGAATGGCTAGTAGTATTTTAAAGGAAACTCCCTCTATCCCAGTGCCATTATTAGCCCAGGTGCATTAAAAATAGACTGTTTGTGATGGGTTGTTTGTTCACATGTATTTTAGCACTAAACGTATAGGGCAATAGTCTGCCAACAACTCATTAGTTTTATTAACTTAGTTATTTGATAAAGTAGAAAATATATTTGCCAGAAACAATATATTTAAATTGAATAAAATGCTGTGTAACAATACCATGGAGTTGGTACTTTGTACAAAATCACAGAGTACTCCAGAGTTGTATTGAAGTGCTATGATGAAAAAAAATATGTATAATAATTCTAAATAGATACGAAAAGAGCAAAGAAACATAAAATGGTGCTTCTCTCTTAATTTGTACCAAAAAGTTCCAATGTACCTGGAGCTAAAATATTTATCAAAACCACTATAAAGGAGATTAGATCAATGGAATAGAAAATCCAGAAACCCACATAAAAAAGTTCTACTTACTACGTACATACAGGTGTTCAGACATTATGGGGCTCTAAATGTATTCTAGAACTTATGTAAAATACAATTCTCCATCCAGCAGAGCTATAGTAAAAGCTAAAGAAATTTTATATTTTGGATACTGTTTCATTTTCATGCTCTAGAATCTAGATCATATGTAATATAACTTGAGGTTTCTATACTCTTGTATTTTCTACTCAATTATTTATGCCACTCAAATGTCATTTGGTAACTGAAATTAAAGGTTTTTAACCTACAGTAGATCAAAGAAAACAGAAGCTAATCTTCCCTAGCATACATAATGTCTAATGAGAAAACAACAACCTTCAGAGAAGACAAAAAATATTACACAGATATTACACAGACAAACGTAAAAACAAATACAGAACAACACAAACAAAAATACATAACAACAAATACAACGTTTACTATGAGGTACTTTATGCCAAATTTCAGTCATTTTGTAATATGGCAATTTTTTACTTGTAGTTTTTGTAGGAATAATCTACAGGGTTAGAAGGAGAAGAGAAGAGGGTCATTGAACTCTGGAGCTTTTTCCAGTAATAAAGAATTGCTTATATTAATCCTCCTTATACATGACTATGAAGTAAAGGTTGAACTAGACAGTGAGACACTCTGCCTGCACTGCTATGGCAACAGTAGAGCAGTAAACACATTCATCCAATTATACTTATCGGTATCTATCAAACTAACTCCAAGACTGTTATTTCAAAAGAGGTTTGGGGTTTCTGGTGTATATAAATTACACTTTGTGTGCCAGACCAAGTAGAATTAAAGGCAAATAACCTCTTAATTACTGTTGCTTCCATCACCTTCTTTGATTTGCCTATCTTCACACTGTAACTGAGGAGAGTCTCCACGAAAGACTCTAATAAAGCTACAGGATAATAAAAAGAGGTTGTATAAAATTTGAATATTGTAGGAATATCCATTACAAAAGTTTAACACAATACATTTAATTGGAATCTGAGCAGGTTTTTTATGTACTTCTAGCATGGATTCACTTTTCTTTACAATTATTTCTCACAGATAATTACTGTCACACTTCTCTTTTCCTTTCTGTGTGGTTACCATGATTTTTGCTTTACTTAAATTGTAGGTCATGTATTTATGTAAAACCACACAAATATAATTTTATTATTTAGACTTACTGCTTAATTTAGAATTTAGCGTGTTTCACTTTAAAATAACCCATCTCATACACACTACATTGACATACACACTACAAACCATACTGAACATGCCTTTCTATGACAGACAGTTAATTTAAGCTAGAATGTCACAATCTATGAAAATTCTGAAAGAGAAAAGATGCCTGAACAAGAACAGGAACAGCTGGATAGAATATTTTAGTCTTGTTATAGGAACTGTTCTATTGTTTTTCTTTTGACTTGTTCTGCATTACAAATTCAAAATATTAAATGTAGAAAACAAATCAAACGTGTAATTATAGCATATTTGCTGTAGCAGGTGGTCATCAGTCTTTGAATACACCCAGCTGATTAATGTTACGTTGGAATAGGGGTTCTTGGAGCTACCTTCTTTTCATTGTTCATTTTAAATTACCCTGGTTCTGTGATAATTCCTGTGTATTTTTAAACTGGCTTTACTGCTTTAAACTGATAAACATCCTGTTCAAGACTGACATTTCTGCAGTTTTTGATTGTAGTTGGTCCCTGTTGTTCTAAAATGTGACATAAAAACTCAGCAGCTCCATTTGTTTTCTTTCTCTTTGTGACTTGAAGCTCAGCAATGAGTGACAAATCTTCCCTCTGTTTTAACTTCCTCCTGTATGTAGTTTATATCCAGACCGGACATGGCTAGAAGCCCTACCAGTACATTACTATCTCCTTTCTTAGCATTTTTGAATGTTCGATTTTTCATTTTACTTTAATCCTTAAAGAGATAATCTCTCAAATAGTTCAGGTGGGTAGCTGCGTCAGCATGCGAGAGCTCTCTCACACCTGAAGAAGGCTCCACGGCCGAAACGTTGTGTTCTCTTTCTTCTTTTTTTCAGCATGGAATAAACCTATTACTTGTTCCTTCTTAATCTCTCAAATGACATAACAAAAAGTACATACAGAACTTTTGCTGCCATGATAACACAGAGTTAAAACTGGAGCCTTTTATTTTTTTAATTTCAGTCCAAACTCTATGATCAGATTATAGTCTACAGTACATTGGCAACATCTGGGGTAAATGGGTTTTACACATCTGGAATAAACACCAATGTGATGCCAAATATGGAGATATTTTATACAATATTTATAGCAATGTGGGGGCATAATGCATGTAGAATCGTAGTACATTTGGTCATTAATCAACTAGGAGTTAATATAAAAATGAGTTACACATTTTTATTCAGAGCTTTCAGCAGACAAATGACTAAAAATGTAGGATTTAGATGACTCCCACTCTTTCCAATACAGGACTATAAGACTTCTTTTAAGAATTTTGCCAGCTATTAGAGAGTGGTACCCAAACAACAGAGTGTATTTCTGCAAGTTTACTATTTCTTCTCATTTATGACATGTATACTGAGAGGCACAAAATGCAGTTCCATGGTTATGAATATGTAAACATAAAATATCAATTTATGAAGTCATGCTGGGTCATATTGCAGGTTCACTGGTTTAGTTTATCATTAGACATAAAAAGGAAATAAATGACTGGCTTTAACTCAACAGGTGTCATGAATACATATAGAGTATTCCCATTAATGGCAATTAATAGGTGTAACCAGCTTGTGCCCTGGCATTTAGATGCAGGTCCAAGATATTGATGTCTCACTAGTGCTTGTGGGATGACTGTCCAAAGATGCTACAAGTCCAGTAAGAACTTTACAGTGGTCTGTGGTTGAGAATGTTGCTGTTGAACATGATTACCCAACAAGAGTCAATTGGGATCATGTCAGGTGATCATGAGGGCCAATCCTATACTTGAACACTGTGTGCTTGACAGAATTCCTGTGTAAGTGCCTGTGTAGAGCATGCACTGCTATGTGGGAAAATGAGCTGTCTGTGCCTGCCAGGTTCCACTACTAGTAGGATGGCTTCTGGTTGCAACATCTCTCCACTTATCACAGGGCAAAGGGAGCAACCTGTGCGACAACTAATTCTGACTGGAATTGAGAGTACTTTGAATCCCATTATTATACCTTTATCAAACTGATCTTGGTTAGCAATACAATAACAAAAAATACCCTCTCTGGCACTGATAGACATGGAGTTGGATATCAGTAAAACACAGATTAAACCTATATTCATCAATGGGAACAACATTGTCCCATCTTCTTCAACTGCTATTCAAAAATGCCAGGAACTGTAAGTCGAAGTTGATGACTAATGATTTGGTCATGAAAGGCTCTGAAAGCTAATGAATAGTCTGTCAGATGTCTTTGGATTGTTATGTTACTAATTAGCCTTTTTCCTTTCTTGATGACAACATTTTCTGTAACTCTGGGTGATTGTTTAGCTTTGGTGACACAGTGTACCAGGGTTGGAATGATTACAATAAATGTTGTTTTAATGCAGTCTAAAATATGAGAAATGGTTTCTGGATGGACATTAAAACAACATCCAACCATGTGCTAGGACATTCCATTCCATTAATCATCCCAAGTGCCTGGTTCCTCTATAATGTCTTGTTTTTATAGAGCTGTGATTTGAACAGTACAGTATGTGTGCATCACAATATATTTACACCAAATGGCATTTCATGAATTTAAAGCATACAGTAGAAGCATTTGTCAGTTATTCAGAAATAACACTAACAAACCATAGACAAAATCATACATAAACATTGATTAATTTAATTAATATTCTAAGAAATTGATAGATAATGCATTAAGATTTGACTAGAAAGGTAATTGAGTCACACATTCATTAGTTACCTCCTACATATTAGGGGTAATTAGTTGCCACTTGTGGATATTAATACCCAATTATGCATTCATAAATCATAATCAAACAATCCTTATTATACATTGGTTTGTTCAAGGCTATAGGCACAATATTTATACTTTTAGCATTTATAAAGGATTAGAAGTAATTTATAAAATGAATATGTAGCCACATTGTTAGGCTGTATCTAATAAGATAAAATCTGTAAAAACAAGGCATACCTGAGCTAATTAAATAATTGGCATCCAGAGGGAGTGAGATGCCACATGAGGAAACGGCCTGATGGAATAGGCTTTGTGTAGAACTGGCCACTCCCCTGGACTAACTGGGAGGGTTATAAAAGCAGTCAGGAGAAACAAAAGGATTTTTACGCTGTCAGTAGGTTCTAGCATGAAAGAGCTCCTAAAGGAGTCTGCCATAGCAACAGGTTGAGCTGGCTTATGGGCTTATTAAAAATATATCTTACACTATACTGAGGGGTATTACAAATGCTGGACAGGCTGTCTGACTGGGAGGCTCATTTGCTAGGATCAAAAGGGTTGAAGTGTTCTATCAAGGAACAGGGCTGGCAAGATGAACCTGGACTGATGGAAGGCATTAGCACCTGAAGGAGCAGTGCAGCAAGTAGAAAGATAGCACCATATCTTCTCCCCCTAAAAAAAGAACGAAGAGTCCAGATAGCACAACTGGAATTCTGAATACTCGGCTATAATATCAGCAGACAGGTGTGTGGTCTGAGAATGTGAATAACAAACTGCTGCCATGTCAGTGATGCAAGTGCATGAAGCAGGAGAGCTATGTCCATGGCCAAACAAGATCAGCTGGTATAGACAAAAATGGAGAATGAACAGGGGTTTTGTGAATAGCATGAAAATAGACAGTGAAGACTGGAAAGAGAATGCAACTAACTGATTAGTTTAGTTAAATTAAAATATTGGGTGATGGAGTCAGTTGTGTAGAATATTTAGGTGCCTAACTAGTTGGGGGGGGAGTGATTATTGAGGATATGGTGATTGGGTTCTCTCACACTCAGAACTAAATTCTGAGAGTACGACAAGAGGCGAACAACCAATTGACTAGCAGCCCGGAGGGGCTCTGTTTGTGAGACTCAATGTCAGACCACTAAAATTGAGAAAAATGACGTGACATGCTAACATTATTGTTTTTAGCATGGTGTGGGTGATGTTATTCAGCCTATAACCTAAGAAGTTAAGAAGCTTTCCTGATCACTGTCTGTTGGACATTTAAAGATATCTGGAAAACCTGTGGGACTACTGTTCTCTGGAACCATTGTTCCAAACCAATGGATTGAAGAGTCTGAATCGTTTAGCCTGGGACAGAAAGCATTACATGGGGACTTGATTCTGAAAGGTATTGACCAAGTCCCTTCTGGGGATTTCTTCCATATCAAGCAGCAATACAAAAACCTTGGGACACAAGGCAGGATTGAACTTGAGGAGCATTCAGGGCAAAAAATGCGACTTCATTACATAGGGACCGCTGGGAATCTAATACAACTTCCTAGCATGTAGTCGAGCTCACTTTGTTGTATCCTTGGATCATTAAGCTGCTAACAAGCAAAAAAGCAGTAAAGATCAAATGACCTCCTCTCATTTATAACCTGTCTTACAAATGCCGGTTGGCTTTTGTAGTACCCTTAAAATGGTTGAATGTTAGCCAGCGGGAATGTGTTCCAGTATTTCAGAATGTCAGCATATCAAAGGTTTTCTCCTGTTAACTTTCACACACAACACAAGCAAGATGGAATTTTCACCTACTGTAGATAAGACCCAACCTTGTGACATTTAAAGATACTTTCAAGTGGACATAGCTGCATTTAGCTTTGTAGCACAAGGAGTAATTATCTCTACTATGCTAATTTTACTACTGCAATACAGTACAGTATGGGAAGGATCCACAGACCTAATTAAAAATACTTGATATTTTCTTTGCAATTTCTTGCTAATTGCAATATCTTTCCCCTGCATCAACTTGGAATGGGAAGCACTAAGACCATGTAGACTTTACCTTTTATACCCACTATGCTTTCTACAGTCTTTATTTTAATTTAAAGGAAGCACAAATATCAAATTCACTTAAGTTTTCAAGTCAATTTGCACAAATAAAAAAATAGAGTTTTTATGGAAATTGAGACAAATATGTATTTCAGATGATAGTTTTGTTATTATTTTCAGCTGTGGTCTTTTATTTAATTAAGTTTCAAGAACTGAACAAGATGTACAGTACATCACAGAAACATATTTAATCCATTACTGCAGCACATCCACTGCTTTGCAGTATCAAGTATCATTTTGTGACCTCAGTTTCATACAATACCATCACAACATTGTATTAATATGTAATTCCCTTTTCAAAAATACACATTTCTCAGCCAATATCATCAACCTGTCCTAATGCTGTTGCTGATAGTGGCAAGCAAAACAGCATCAAATAGCTGGCACAGTTAATGTTTGAACATTGCAATGTAATTTAAAAAATACATTATTTTACCATTCTTTCAAAACGTGTGTAAACTTATAGGCTTATTGTGTAAACAACAACAATAATAATAAATAATATACATATGAATCATGGGCATTAACAATGATCAATTACAGTATCATACAAGAATAAATATGCATACTCCAAAAAATCCTGAAACTGACTTATAAATTGTTTTTTATAAAGGTTTTCATAACAACAATGATAACCATAAGTGCTGTAACCATTTACAAAACATCAGTCGTTTACATAAACATACTGTACTTAAAGGAAAAGTAAAGGAATGCATTTACCTTGTGACTTTTAATATAAGTACACAAAATGTATTTAAAACGCAGCTATGTAAGTAGTTTACATTCCCTTCCAGACTTCATATTTTTGTTGCTAGGGAAGCACAGAAGTAGTATCTCTCTCAAAATCAAACAAACAGGTTTGAAAAAAGGAACTACAAAAAGAGAAGGCACAAATATAGGGGATAGAGGACACAGCTATTTCATTGATTCCTTCCAGTAGCTAAACCCTTTATTTTAAAAACATCCCTACTCTTGTCAACAGCTCTGCAGTCTGCTAGCCTGAACAGCAAAAGGAAGAAACATAATTTTAAATATAAAAAAAAACGTTTTCCTTTGAGTGTTTATTGTCACGGACAGAACCCAGCAGACAGATTAGAAAATGTACAGAATGATAATCAGCCACGGTCAATATCTATTGGACTTCACACAAATTTAGCACAAGCAGGTTTACAACTTGCTTATTACTACTTGCCTTCTCTCTCTCTTGTATTCTTGCCCTTACTTCATCATGGTCTTCCTTCAGGTGCTGGTTGTTATTCTGTTGGGGTGTCATCTTAAGTCCAGGGAAGGAGTTCTAAACGCAGAACCATTATTTTCCAAATCTGACGATATCCAACTTTCAGGAATTAAAAGAGAGAGAGAGAGGAAAAAAACAGCAGAGGGGATGTAAGAAGTGGAAAAAAAAGTGTTGAAAAAGAAACAAAAAAGCTAAAATAACATTCTATAAAATTTCCCAGACGGCCCACAGTGAGCAGTGGGCTATGCCTGTTCCCTCATAGACTGCTCACTGACTGTTCACCTCTATCAGTGCTCCAAAGAGGGTCTAGAATGAGTGCTGTTCCTCCTCATTGACTAAATAAGGACATCCCAACACAGTCATTCTCTTTTCACTGCCTACAGGAGTCCCCTGCACAGCTACAGAGCATAAGGCTAGAGAAGACATTTCTCCAAGTTCAGGGATCCTGCACAAGTTTCAGAGCACACCAAAAATGCATTGTGCTCTTAGTGACTGGATTTCCTGCTCTAGCATAGTGCAGGTTGGCAGGTTTATATTATTTTTTTATTCTTCTGCTGATTCTTCTTGTTTAAGTGAGATGAATAAATAAATGAAGGTCCTTATATTATATATAAGGAAGATTAAGGGGGCAATGAAACCCTATCAAACACAAAACATAACTTTATAACCTATTTCAATTAAACATATGCCTGTTTTAGAACTACTTACGGTGTATTAGTGTTGATTCTTTTTAATTATTAGTGATTGCTGGTTAACTTTGAAATTTGCTCATGCATATTACTTCACTATTCTAGTTATATTAATACTGACAGTAGTTAAATTAAAGTAAAATAAAACAGTTTGATAAATTACCTAAAGTGTTAAAAAACCGATGCTTAATGATCAAATAAAATAACACTGGAGTATAAAGAGAAATAAAATTAATATTTTATGTAAAATATCTTTTTTTTTTCTAAATTAGCTCTAATGGGAGTCAACAGAACCACAATACGTGTATTTGTCAAAATCCCTATAAAGATTATATGGATAGCAGCATTTGCAGAAAATCACCAGATTGCTGAACTTTCTTTGCAAATGAGTCATGCATGTCTTGAGCCCACAGACATATGGAACTTATTGTGATGAGCAACAGATGTCAGATGTATTAGAGGGGCCTAAATTACAGAAACACTCAACTCCACACATGACACACCTAGTTCAAAATATAAATTATGCCTAGAGCTTATTGTTCACAGAGGGATTCAGCAAGCCAATGTGTAATTTTTTGGCTAGTCAATACATATAAAAATCAAAAGCCCAAAATTCTTTTGTCCAAGTCTACACACTTCATAGCATTTTTAATTTCTGCAGATTTGTTTTAAATCTAATGCAACATTCCAAAATTCTCCACTTCACTGTTAATGTCAAGTATATAAAAAAAGTTTGAAATGAAAAACATGGATTTTAAAATGCCAGATATGAACTTTCACAAAACCTAAAAAGTATTTTACCAAGAGAGTATTTTGCTTTCCAGCCCCATTTCTTATGGATTAATAAAGGGAATGACCATGGGAACCATTTCCCCACAAGGGAAGAGACAGTGGAAGTGAAATTCACTGGAGAATTTGCATGTTGTAGATTAACCCACTTGGAAAAGAACCAGACCATACACAGAGGCAGAGGGTATTTGTTTAACTTTAGAATCATAGGAGACTTTGATGTCTTGTACTATTGACCCGCAAGAAGATGCAGGCATTCCCCAAGCAAGGAGAAATGCAAATAAAGACTTTACTATATATTTTAACTCCATTACAGGATTAACACAAATTTTGCATCATAGATGTTTTAAAATTGAAGTATTGTATTTAGGAGTATATACAGTATGTATAAAGTGTATTTAAGTTGAAATGTTATAAATAAAACTTGAATCAAAATAACTAAAGAGAAAGCACATTAGTTCAGGCATTTTATAGTCAAGCTCAGAACAGTCAATATAATTGTAAAATATCCCACAATATTTTCAATTAATTTAATGTACAGTATATAGCAGTAACCAAACCTGGGTTGATCAAGGGCACAGCAGTCCCATTTTCATTGTTTCAGCAATCTTATGAAAATAATTGGAGTTTGTAGGTGTTGAACCTGGGATCTGATTACCTTAATACTGCAAATCAACTGTGCTTTCTATCAGGACTCTTGTTTCAAGTGATCATTTTGCTATGACATTCTAATTTTGGATCAGAACTTTGGAACTGTTCAAAATGCAAAAACTGAAGATCGTTCCAGGCAAATATTAAATATAAATGCATGTTTATTATAAAGCAAAGTTAACATTCTCCAAATCTAAACTCATTTCCCTTAAACCATGCAAAATAATGTTTGGCTACTATGCCTAATGCACATCCCAAGTGTCATATTGCATGACAAGAACAAGAGCTAAAACCCCAGGACATCCACTGAAGTTGTAACAAACTAACATTTTTTCTATGTCCCAGAACGGCAAGATAACCAAAAGTTAAAATATTTATTAAAGCCCCCCACATGCGCATAGAAAAATAAAAGACAAGTATAACAAAAAAACAGATTGTTCAGTTCAAAAACAGATTGGTTTTTGTTCAGTTCAAAAACAGATTGGTTTTTGTTCAGTTCAAAAACAGATTGTTTTTTGTTCAGTTCAAAAATCTTTATATAGAAGCATACTTATCTTTCCAAATAAGACTTTCAACAGATTCAACATTTAGCCTAAGTGCTTCTTTTAATTCCATCCAAGGTGACATTGAACAGTTCTGTTGTGTCAGTACTAAGCAAACGTTCAGAATAATGAGCCATATGTAATACATCTCATTTAACAGAGGGACAGGTTCTATTAACTGTAAAATAAAACTTTCACTTGACACTTTTCAAGGATTGAATTACCTGTAATTACATTGTCTTTTCTATGAATGAGACACAGATCCATTTTTCTGAAGGATAAGTACACATTCACCATTTAAAAATTTTCAATGCCCCTATAAACATAGACAATAATGGAAGTGAAATGTACAGGCTGTCTTAACACATGTCTTTCCTGTTATCTGTTGCACAGTAACTGTGGGATAAATTAATATGCTTTGGTTTTTTATTGTTCATTAGAATTTAAGGCATGTTCTACAAGGCAGGTTCATGCTAGTTACTATAGAAACAAAGGACAAGGGGACTCTTGAGTTCATTTAACAAGAAAGTAAAAAAATATAAACTTGTACACATGCAGAGGTAAATACACAGTCTTCTGGGCTTTAACCAGGATCCCAACTATCATATTCCAGATAAATTCTGTCTTGAAGAGAAATAGAACCATCAAACGGTATGTACCATATATTTACCACAATATGTATTGTGAGTAGAAGAGTTATTCTGTATTAAATGCTTAAAGTATTAAAGTATTTGAGTATTAAAGTTATTTTAATTAAAAGCTTAATTTGGGTTGCACCAGTGCAACAAAAATACTAATACATACAAACTTTAATTTATGTGGTTATAATCAATAATACAATTATCTTCATCCCAACTAGTTCTTTAGACTACTTCTGTCACCATATTGACAATTAGTGGGCAAACTTTGGGTTTTAAAGAACAAACTGATGAACTTGACTTCTCTCATAGTGTTTAATAGTGTATAGTGTTGTAAATTGAACTGAGTTGGACAACGTGATTTTTGCAATATCCAGGCTCAAAATACTTTCTATTGGTTATATTAAGAGTAAATTCACTTCATTCCTGAAATCTATTCTGCACAGTGTTAGAGCACAGTATTAGAAATATAGACTAATTGTAGAAATACACAGGTCTCCTGAATTGTCTATTCTGCAGTGTGCTGTTGCATAAACATTGAACATACTGCACTTATTGCTAAATTGTGAAATGGGAACAACAATGGTTTTGATTTTCTCTTTTTAAGAAAATAAGTTAATTTTAACAGTCTGATGGCTGCCTATGACCCTTGTGTAGATTTGACTCATGGTGCTGATATTATTAAACTTCCCAGCTATGAAAACAACTCAGCACACCAGGGTGTCAATTCTTCACATTTCACTAGGAATTTGAAGTTAGAATATTGTTTTCTTTGGGCCAAAATCCAGCTCATTTATATCTGAGAGGATATGAAAACCATTGAACTTTCCACATTCTACCATTTACTATGGTTGCATTTTATTTTGTGTTTGAAGTCAATGGTTGTGTATGAATATATTCCAAGTCACCTTTAAATGAATCAAATATCTGGTAATTTTACACAGAAACAATTTTACCAAGCTGATATTACTCATACACTATTTCTATACTTTGAGTCTCCAAACTATAAGAATATGAAAATGAATATTGCATATAATACCTAATAGTTGATTTAAAGAAGCTTTTCCTTGGCACTGTACATTTTTTTCTCAATTGGATCAAAGACTGACCCAAAAAAATGACAAAATCACAAAAAGCATTGAAATAAATGTAATAATTCCAGTGAAACAATATTTGGTATACCCATTATATGCAGTAAGAATATCCATCCTTTATAAGCTATTCATTCCTGTTAACAGTAATGACAATGTGGAAATGTTCCTAGATGGGTAGTAACAAGTTGGAATTATACCCTGGACAGGACACCAAGCAGGGATAATTTAGAGTTATCGTAGCTAGCATATCTTTGGAAAGTGGTTAAAAACCAGTGTGCAATGAAAATCCACAGATAAAAAAAACCAACAACACCTGCAAACTTCACAGAGAAGGCGCCTTAGTCTGCAATCAAACATACTGTAGTACTTGCACATTGTGAGGCAGTAGTTCTGATTGCTACACCCTGACAGCGCCGTGCAGGCTAGAAACACATGTGCTTTTCTAAAAAGTGTTAAACTGAACTACAAATCGAGATATTTTTTGCCACAATCTACAGCATCAGAAGGCAGTAGTACAATAACATTTTAAGCCATACAGCGTATGTTTTAAAAACATACAGCATCTGTTTTCTTCTGTGTGCATACAACATCTTAAAGAACACTTTTCACCTGAGTGGAATTATTGTTTTTTTGTCAAAAAAGATTTTTGGTTTAACTTAATTGATTATCTGTTGAAGTCCTTCCATCTTTTGTTTGCAGCAGAAAATATATTATCATATTTTCAATTTCCAATTTGCACCAATAGCCTTAATGGCCATAATTGTTTTATGTATTAGAATAATTGAAAAAATATATGTCAAAGGGCTAATTATAATTGTAAGTGTAAAACCATACAAAAAATAAGAAGTGTTTTTATTTTTTCTTATTTCAGAAATGCCCAGCTAACAAGGTATTTTTAGGACTCGGGCTGCTTCCCTGCATTATGAAATAAGATAAGTAAAAAGAAGCCTGTCTAATAAACTGCATCAAAATATGGCACCATC